CACCAAGCTCTCAAACCCGAAGGAGCTTGCCTCCACTAGACGCAGGGAGGCCTGCATAGATCGGGTCGAAAGGCTTCTGCTCTAAAGGGTACTCCAGAAAGTTGGAATATGGTTTCAGGGTAGGATACCTTATAATTTACCATAGAAGGGTTAGGATAATCATATTCCAACTTTCTGGCTTTTACCTCATGGTTACTGTCAGGGCTCACAGGCGATAGTTTGAGATTCAAAGTATCGGTATGAGTGAGGGTGTTTGGGCTTGGGATGGTTTACGGTTAGGGGGCTTAGGGCTTGAAAGCACACCTACTATGGGCCATTTGGACTGCAAGGACAACCTATAGGGTTCTCTTATTCCATTTTGATGAGGTATTCTGCACAGTTATCCTGGAACATGAGGAGTAAACTGAGTACCATTGAATAAGGAACTAGCAGAAGGCCATTTAGCACAACCTTACACTGGCAGTTTCCGGCTGACATCTCCAAGGACTAGGCGACCTGCGATTGGGTTAGGGCAAGGTGGAGTATGAAGGGGTGTTCCTTTGCTTCAGAAGCTCCCTTGCTGTGGTGGCTTCGAAAGCCTGAAGCCACAAGAGGGATATGAAGTGACTTCCGACAAAAAACCCAAACAACACCAGATCTCAAGCCCAACCAAAGAGTTTATGTCTTTGTGTACTCAGATTTGTCAAAACTGGACAGGAAACATAGCCTCGAAATCAATGGCAAGTGACTGCGAAACCTGCATTAACCATGGAAGCGAGAAGCGTCCTCTCAAGTTCCTATATGCCTGGTAGGTTTGGGGGTTCAGGCCGCTACGGCCCCACCCTGCAACATCCTGCATCTCTCAACAAGTTTCAACAAGTCAAGATTGTTAAACTCGGCACCCGAAGCCCACCATGAATCCACACACCCAGGCCGCCTCCCAGGCAGCCGGCATGGCTGGCCGGGCTAGGGTCCTGACCGCGTGATATTCCCGAGTTTGTGTGTGAGTGCAAAGCTAAGACTCCAAGCATGTGATTTGGGGTCGGTGTATTTGGGAAAAAGACTCCGTGGATCTGCAAATAATTAGAATCAAAAGAACTTTGGGCGGGAAGAGCTCGGTCGACGTAGGGCTACAAAGCCCAACAGACTGCAACGGGGATCAGCTTGTTCTGGCCGCAATTTGCCGCCTGGAACATACACCCGCAAATATCTAAACCTAACGACCCAATCCTTGAAAGCCCAGGCCCTGCAACCACCAATGCCCCCACAAGCTACGCACCAATACTACAAAGAGGCCTCTTCCTTGCTGCCACAGCAGCTGTGACGCCTTCAGGAACTTTCCGGGGCTTCGTTTCTACTCTTGGGGGGCTTTCCGTCTGGAGTTGCTCACTAAAGCTGCCCTAGGTGCAACTCGCAGCAACGGAACTACAGACATAGGCTGCCTTGGGTCACATGACTTCGGAGCGACTAGGGGTCAAGGTGTTGTCATGGCACCCCACCCGCTTCGTTGCCTGGTAGCACGGCCGCAGCAGCCCTCATAATAGTGAGACCTGACACAGCGGCGCCGTCAGCATTTAGAGCAAAAACGAACTAAACTCATACCCGGCATACTATCGGGGCTTACGCTTTGGGCTGCAACGCTTCAAACCCTGGTATTGCCAGATGAAGGTGTATAAGCTTTGTTGCAACCTATACGCAGAAGACTCTGACTCGAGTTGACCCCTTTCCATATGTAGTCCACCGCCCAAATAATCATAACCCCAATAACACCAGTAGAAACCACAAAACACATGTAGGCCCCTATATAGTTCATCCGTCAACCTCAGAACTACAAGCCCGGTCCTTACCAATGCCATTCAATGCTACAAGCAGAACGCAATTCGTATGTGGCTCATAATTATGGATTTGTGAAGTGTGCTGGGCTGGTGTCCGGGCTTGAGCACTAGACAATGTGGCAGCTGCCGCGGTCGCGCCTGGGCCTTTACAGCAATGACATCAGAACGCACAATCCGCAAGACTTCCCCCAAAGCACAATGGAAAGTCGAACCCTATCACCCTATGTCGCTGACCCCCAGCCTTCGCACCTAATAGAACGGTTTGGGCACACAGCTCTCATCCTCTGCCTGAGGCATCAACTCACCTGAAGCCTTAGCCCTGAACCCAACCACACAAACGTGGTTGTGAGTCTGTTCTGAGTATACAAGAACCCTAGGGTTTAAACACACCCTAGTGCACAGGGCATAGGTTTAAATATCATAGTATGCAAAAATCCTAAATCACCCAAGGCTTCCAAATTTCCGCCTCGCTTCTGCTGCGACACCTTCACTGCAGGCAGAGCCCGACACGGCTCAAAGACGCCTCCCCAAGGCTCTTATGAGCAGAAAGTATATCCACTTCCAGACCGTTTAAAGTGGCTTGGTCGTACGTTTATCAGGATAGCGGAATGTGTAGCCGTAAGACACAAGTGAGTAGTGATTTGTTTTGTTGTTCGGGTTGTTCTTATATCACTGGTGACTACGCGGGACTCCGCTGGATCCCTGATTTAGATGGGGCGCGGGACCACGCAATTGCACCATGGATAGTTCTTGCCTACGCAGCCTACGCGCTATGCAAGGGATGGCAAGGGTAGTTCCTCAAGCATCTGGACTGCTGTCAGGCTTGCAGAGACCCGAGCCGCTTGCACAGGTTGCTGGAGTGCGCGGGCGTCCCCCTTCTTGTATCTAGTATGTAGTGGAAACCACCCGAAACACTAGAATGCACTTAATCATCCTCCCAACAGAGCGTCTAGAGCGTTTGTGCCAAGCATCGTCGCTTGGGAAATCGAGCATTTTGCGCAGGTTACTCGACACTTCTAGATTCTACACAGCAGGAAGGGCCAGGAGAGGCAAAAACACTGCTATAGCTACGCGCACCGTACGCTTTTCCTACGCGTGGCCTACGCGAAATGGCACCGCAAGTCTGACTATTTGGCTGCGAGAGACGCGAGGCTAACAAAATTCCGTGTTTACGAGAACCGCACTGCAGGCTCAGGAAGTCCCTACTGCAAGCTCGGACCTTCCGGTACTAGATTGGGGAGGTTTGATTTTCAAACCTGCGCGCCAACGCCTACGCAGCCCTTACTCCACAAAAACCATACGCGGGACCGCGGGACTACGCTCCCCAGCGAAAATAGCTACGCAAGCACATGAATACACGAAGTCCTTACATCGCGTAGACACGGCCAAAAAAATGCTACTCAAATGAAAGCGCTACTTCGGCGGGGATCCTCAAGTGTTTGTCTGCTGAAATCCTGCCATTCTGAAACTCTGCCGTTCAGATCCTCAGATCCCAACATCAAGCGAGCCGGCCTGCTCCGCTCACACGGCCGCGCTCGGCGACGTGGATGCGAGTCGCACCTCGGATTTGTCAACTTCTTGTGTAAGCTAGCGGGATAATAACAAGGCAACTACCAAAGAAACTGCATTTAAGGGCCCAGGTCCAGGATGTATTCAGGGCTGAGAGTCTAAGAAGGAACGGAACAAAAGAGCAAGCGAGGGACAACACCTGAATCCCATCTCGCAGGACAGAATCAAGAAAATCATGCCCAAAATCCTGAAGGCAAACGCCCTGAAGGTGCATACTCAACGCTCCAAACCACGAAGCTCGCGGCTGCCAGGACACCGCGGAGAGTCGCCATCCGCGGCAGGAGCCATCCAAGTACCCCAGGTCCCGAGGGCGGCTCAGGCGTTGCTTGGGCTTTGGAAGGTTGGGACCTGATTTCTTGCCGGGGTGTGGAGTTTAGTGTATGTTTAAGGTTTCGAGGTTAGGGTTGGGGTCATATAGGTGCTCTTTCACGGCATCAGGGTTGAGGGTTTGAGACTACAGCGTCTGTAAGAGGGTGTGCTACCTTGGAGATGACATTGGATGAGGTTCGTACAGGCGTATAGGGTTCGGCGGCGCGTGGGGCTTTGGGATCTTGTTCAGCAGGGGGCCTGATTCCCCAGCAAAGGCTGCAGACGAACAGCAAACAGAAAAGCGGTCCAACAAGATCCACAGCCTAGAGCGCAGACCCTGACCTGAATACCAGAACACGTACTGAACCTCTATCATTCCGACACCTCGTTCGGTTGGTCGGAATTGTACGGTAAGGTTTGGTCAAGGACAGCTCCGTGAGAGGTGAAAACTGACTTTGGCCTCTAAACTTCAGGATTCGCGAAGTCATGCACTTGAGATAAACAGTCAGGGCGCAGAGTTGTGGGATGGGTGGGCAGAAGTCAAAATTCTTCGAGTGGCGGACTCATGGTGCAAAGGGTTAGGGGGCCGGAGCTTTGGCAGCCTCAACCTCTGTCGAAACACAAGTAAGTTTGAAGCTTTTAGAACACCCACAGAGCTTCATGCCATGCTTTTCAGAAGCTCCACGAGGTGTCGAGACTCTTTGGCACATCGGACACAGGTCGAAGCCGCGATCGTTGAGGCCACAAAAACAGCCCTCATACACAGATTTCAAAGACCTGCGAGATTCGCATGTTTGGTGCATCCGTCTCGTCCGGCTGGGCAACTGAACAGAATACCGAACCACGCATGCAGTCACATTGTGTCCTGGCCTACAGGATTCTGCACGTGGACTTTTCAAGCGGCCTTCAGCAGTACACTGTTTACTGAAGCCAGAGTCGGTATTACGGGCTGGCAGAGCCAGTCTTAGTCTCCCATACACAGGACAAACCAATATCGAAAACCCACCATCCCAGTGCCTCCGCCATGCCGTGAAGAAGTTGCAGCCAGCATGCCAGGGCCTCGTCGTATTTCTTAAGATCCTCCAGGCACTGTGAACCGCATCCTTGAGAACAGGCAGGAATTTGAATCGGTTCAACCGCCGTGTCTCTTCGCACCATAACTCCTCCTAAATGTCCACGCATGGCACTCTGCAAGACCACATACAACTGTGCGATCAAGCTCCAACCGGCCGCCAGTCGGTGTATTGCGCGATATCCCGTATTTCTGCCTGATTGCCGAGGTCTATCGCAGGTCCATTAATTAGATGATCATAGCTTGTACTCGTAATGCTCCTGGCGCATGGCTTGTAATTTGTCAATGTAGCCACAGAGCTGGTCGTTGAGCCTCTGTGCGTTTAGCAAAACATGTTCGCGCTGCAGACCTTCAGCATCTGCAAACAGTGTATTGGCCCGGGAAGTCTGCCCATTTCGCTCATATATTTTGGCCATCTTCTTCATATGAGTGATCAATGCCGCTCGTCGCAAGCCAGCTGTGTCCAATCGTGTTGCAAAACTCTGATTGCCAACCATATCTGCCATTGCACTCCGAACTTGCTGTGCGTTCGCCGAAGTGAGGCTGAGAGCCAGCTTTGCTTGAGCAGCTTTACGAAGCAAACCAGCATCCAACATCTTTTGCAGAGCAGCTTTGCAGCATTGCTTCCGGCTGATTCGGAGTTCAAATCCCGGACGCCCTCGCATCTGATACAGGTGCGCCTCGATGCAAGCCTCTGTGGCAAGGAAAGTCCGCACACACTCCAGCACCGTTGCATACTTTTGATACATCCTCAACCGGAGCAGAGCCATCCCTCTTGGCTGCTCAATGTAGCCTTCTGCATCGAAGAAGCCTGCCAAATACGCCCAAGTGCATGGGCCAGCAACGGCTGACTCACTGCGCTTTAACATGGCAAGTTCGATGGAATAGTCTACCTTGTCAATCGCCGTTCCGAGCAGTGCCGCAAGAACCTCAAGCTGCCTTCTCTTGACAATGCTATGTAGTGCCATGAGATTTGCTGCATGACATGCTCTTCTGCCGGTCAACACCCAATTCAACATTGGCTTTTGGAGGCCTCTTCCATTTTTCAATCGGCGAATACTTCCTCCGAGTGCCTCTTGCAGGCGTATCAAGGTGGCGACTCCATCGATAGACTGCCCGACCTGCAAAGCGCCAGCGGTGACGCAGCCATCGCCGTCAAAGAAGCCTGTTAAGTATGCAAGCTCGTCCTCGGCCACCTTATAGACATCCGTCTCAACCCATTCAGTCTCAGCTTTCAGAGGCAGGGTGTATCTTGTTCGATTCAGCCAGAACGAGCTCAGGGGTGGCCACCGGATGGTAGCGAGCGTGGCCTGCAGCTGCCTGTTTTGCTCTCGCAGAACATTCAGCGAAATATCGGCTAATGCAAGGCTGCTGACGGCCCCTCTTTTCGGTATAGACAGGACCGGGAGCTTGCTCCAAAAGTGCGGTGTCACCGAAGCCACGACTCTGTGCCAGCAGCGCTGAGACTGCGCGAGTTCGAACATCCAACCGTCAGCGAGTGTTTGTCAAAACCACCACCCTTAGCTGAAGGTAGGACGTGGTAATTATCAGTAATTGTATTCTGCATCTGGAACGTTAGCAACGATATCGGAGAAGAGATAACATGTACGACGAAAACAGGTCCCGGAGACCCGGAGTCCGTGCGAAGAAGCCCGGATGAAGTTCTTTCGACTGCTGTGAGTGGGAGGCTAACAGGGCCTGAGGACTCGGGGTTTGAAGCCTGAGGGTTTTCCAGTTGTACGGTTGGGGGACCCTACGCCTGAAAAAGCCCTTAATGAACAATCTGGATATACTTCATGCTAAATCCAGAAACTGCTAGTTCTTCACCTTGAATCTCCCAAAGCAGCTTCAGCTTCCTATCCTGCATAAACACCGGCCACAAGTACAAAGCTCGTTGAATGCCAGGACACACCGCAGAGAGTGGTTTTCCGTCACAGGGCCATCCAAGTAGCTCCGGCTCGAGCACTACTTGGGCTGGGGTCTGGGTTTAGATGTTGGGGTTTGGGACAGGCTGAGTGTCTATAGTCTAGGGCTTGGGCCTCTAAGGTGAGGAGGACGTGTCAGGGGCTAGGGTGTCTCACCTTAAAGATGATGCCAGGTTTCGGCAGAGCGTGGGGCTTTCGGAATATGGCATTAGGGGAGGTCTGAAGCCCCAGTCAAACCTGCAGGCTTGCGAGCAAAGCACCGGCAAGGACTCACAACAAGCTCCACACCCTAGCCCAAAGCCAAACTTTCCTAGACATTGCTTAGTGTTCACGATGTTGGTTGCGTTCGAAAAACGGGGCTTAACCTTCACGTCCTTGGGTGGGGTTTAGGGCAGAAGCAGGGCTTGGAGCCGTAGTTTTCGTGTATTGCGCAGCCATTCGTTCATGACCGGGCCATCTGAAAGCATATGCCTACTGCTATAGGGAAACCTGAAGCCGAACCCTAAAGCACGGAGATCTACGACCCAAATTGCAAAAGGCGTGAGGCCAAACTCTACATGTCGCGCAGCTCGACTGCACCGTAAGCGAGGTGCCGAGGCTCTTTGGCACATCGGCCACACGTCGAAGCCCCAGTCGTTGGGGGCTGCATAAGCTTCACAAGACGTGCACTTCGGACGGGCTCTAACTCGTCTTCTACTGCATCGCAAAAGATCCTGGTACATACTCCAGGTGCTGGAACTTGAATATATTTAAGCTCAATCCACTGAGAATCTTCTGCTTGAAAAAGCCTGACTGGCAGCACGCGGCAGACAGAATCAGCTGCTCACCAGAAGGAGAAGTCCGGCATGCATTCCTTCGCCTGATGGCAGGGCGACAGCATTCGACAAAAACAATACGTGGATTGGGCGGTCCTGCTCTGATTTGTCGAATCCGAAATTGGTCCTTCCGATCAGTTGCTTAAACGTCATGTTGAAAATCATGTGACAAAAGATCAGCCAATGGTTCTGGTGCTCTGTTTGACATCGCACGGCACATACATTGTTGCCATGAACCTTGGCCGAGTTCCCTGGCTAAGCCTCGTTGACAAAGTTGAACAGGTCTTGCACAAGCCTTTAGCATCAAAAGCTACAGCCAGAACATTTATTTACGGAAGCCTTCAGCCATGCAAGTCACTTCAACCTAGGCAACGTCCGGATTTTATCAGGTGCGCTGATGGCAGCCGCAAACTCTCTCGTGCACAGCTTGAATGCCACGTGGTAGGACTCCATCACCTACCAGTTGGGGGACGTACATGAGAACCGCCAACAGAGGCATGTTCTTGCGGCCAAGATGAATCGTCACGAAGTGGACATCCTTTGCAGCGGATTCTTGGCTCTTGCGGATACGAATTGCGACCTTCGACGTGTCAGACCATCCAGGCGATGCCATCTGCCAAACCCGCAATATAGCCTACATATACCCTAATGGTGGGGACATGGCGTAGCGTTGGCAAGACGCTCCTGATTCCTCTCTGCGGACTGGTGAGACGGTCTTCACAAATTGTTAGTACCAGGGTTCTGGTACATGTCACGAATTTCGTTGATGTGAGCCTGAAGCTGACCATGCACTTTCCACGCATTCAATAGTGCATGTTCGCGCTTATGATGTTCAACTTCTGCCAAAAAGGATTGAGCCAGAGACGTGCGTCCCTTTTTCAAAGCCCGCGTGGCTTTCCTTAAAGCAGAGGTAATCATTATGGCCCTTTGCAAGCCGGCCCCGTCCAATCTGCGTAAACAGGCTTGGTTGCCCACCATGGATGTCATGGCATTACGAACTTCCTCCGCATTCTCCAAAGTGAGGCTGAGCGCAAGGTTTGCCTGATTAGCCTTGCGAATCAGCCCAGAATCCACCAGCTTCTGCAGCACAGCTTTAGAGCTTGATGTTTTGGTGATCTTTAAATCGTGACACTGGCTTCGACTTCCGTAATAAACCTCGGCCTGGACACCGAGTTCTCTGCAAGGAAACGCTGCAAGCATTCGAGAATCGTTGGATGCTTCTGTGCTATCTTCAGAACGATTGACGCCTTGCCTCTAGGTTGTTCAATGTAGCCTTCAGCATCGAAGAAGCCCGCAAAGTACGCCCAAGAGCATGGCCCAGGCACGGCTGCTTCATTGCGCTTGAGGAAGCCGAGCCTAAAGGCACAGTCTGCTTTGTCAGCATGTGCCTGGGGCCACTCCACAAGAAGCTCAAGCTGTCTTCTTTTCACGATGCTAAATGGCGCCAGAATTTTCGCAGCATGACGGGCGCTGCCTCCGTTTAACGCCCATTGCAACATTGGCTTTTGGAAACCTCGTCCATCTCGCGATTTGTGGATGCTTCCCCCGAGCGCCTGACGCATACACATCAACATACTGACTCCGTCGAGGGATTGTGAGACGCGCAGAGACAATCCGCTTCTGCCCTGGACACAGCCGTCGCCATCAAAGACACCTGCCAAGTACTCAAGCTGTTGCAGTGACAGCTGCACCAGATCCGCTTCTGCTTTGTGCTCAGCATGTAGGGGCAAGGCGTACTGTTGGCGATTGAATGTCAATGAAACCAACCGTGGCCAAGGAGTTGCGGACAGTTCAGCGTGCAACTGCTTGTTTCTCTCTTGCAAGGCCTCCAGCGAAGTATCCGCGAGCTTACTCGAATGAGGTCGTGATGGCGAAATCACTGAGCCAACCAGCCATGCCATGCACGAGCATCGCCTCGCTCGTGCGACTATCATCATCCGGGTTCTGGTGGCTAACTATGTCGTCGCCAGATTCACCAAACGGAATTAGGAACACACACACACACACACAAACCCGCGAAACGGAAGATGCAGTAGGAAGCCTTCGGATCAAGCTTTAGGCGGCTGCCTTTGCAAATCAGTTTTCACGAGCCAGCACCGGCAACCACATTCGCCGGAATCAATGAACTCTGGCGTGTAACTGTAATTGCAGGGGCTGGCGCAACGAGAAACTCTCCTCGACTAGAAATTCAGAAACTTGCACACCGGTCTCGAGAGGCCCTGGCATTGCCTTGTCGTGCGTCTTGCGGTAGTTCCGAGCGGTGTATGAAGCCAGCTCCCAGACCTCGTGCCGGGGAAGCAGCTATCGTGCCGGGGAAGCAGCTATTGTTCGTATCCGAAGCTGTGACGAGCTTATGTGCGACGATGGCGGGATCAATGACAATTGCATATATTGGCCGAGCCTGAGCTACATGTATCTTGCCTCAAAGTCGCCCGAAACCCTGCGCCTCTGAAAAGGTGCTGAAGCTCTGTGAAAACCGCGCTTGAGCTTCAAACACGAGTAAGTCTTGTCGCGCACGTGTAAGGCCGACCCATGCGGCCCAACACTATGCAGACCCGGAAACTTCTAGGGCCCGAACCCTGAATGTTTATACGGCTTTACAGGAGCAGGTCCGACATGTCTTAACAACTTCTCCAGCATGTTGCCTCGTGGCCTTGCAGTGCGGGAGCCCCAGCTGCTAGTTTAGAAAACCGGCCTACTCGTGAGAAAATCAACAACTCCGAAGCATATTTAGTTACAAAGCTCAATCTGGCGAACCCTAAACCCCCAAAGCTACGCAAATCCACAGCCCCGAACCATCGGGGCAGGCACCCTCTCTGGGTCTCGACCATGATGCTCGTAGAAGCCCGACCAGCGACACCTCGCGAGATGTCGGCATAAATGAAAAACGGGTTTGGAGCTTTCTTCTGAAGCTTGTAAAGGCTTCAAAGCTTCACACTAGAAGCCAGAAAGTTGGAACATGGCTTTAGGAGGATTAGTGCTAGGATCCCTTATACTTTACCTTACGGGCATGAGGATAATGATGTTCCAACTTTCTGGCTACTACTATATGTCTTCAGGCCTCGGACTGGGACTCAGGGTGCAGGGTTCGAACTGAAAGCCTCGAGTTTCAGTTTGAATTCGAGCCTGCGGAGTAAGATCCATCCATGTCTGGTTCGGTACCGTGTACTGTAATTAGCGGCAGGCAATGGCCCTCACATCCCAACCGCAAACTTCAAAACCCTCGGGGCTAACAGCCTGCAGTAAACCCTTCGGAAGCTCCGCCGATTCTCTGCCTATCTTCGGATACCAATAAGGATTTAGGATATGGGGGGTCTTGTAATGAACCACGGGAGCAAAACCTGCCGAAGGAACTCTAAAGCCCTGCACCCTGCCAGAGCTCTGCATGCTGCGCCTCGTCTTCGGGGCAAAGCCCGCGTCGGAAGACCACAGCAGGAGGGGTTGGTGGGCCTGCCACGGCGATCTTAGGGTCAGATGGAACTCAACCCTGTGGCAACTACAGTTGCTGAGTTCCGGGGGCACGAAAAAATCAACGTTTGCTCTGTGTCGGTTCGGAATTGGTATAGGCTTATAGGAAGCCCAAACACATCCAAAGATCACCTACTTGGCTACTAAGACAGATTACATCTACGGTGAATTCGGGGTGTAAATTAAATATAATTCCTACCTTGGGTTTCGGCCCCCCCCCTTTTCTCCATGGCAGGGCAAGGCTAGGCTGTTTGCACGGGTCAGAAATTCAGGATTGAATGCTAAAGGAGACATGATGGATCTGTGCGTGTAGGGTCTCGTAGGTCAACACTGAACAGCAAGGACTTCAGGTGCAAACTGTGGCTTCATCAGCTGAGACTCTGCAAGCCTAGGTCCACGGCAGCGGAGACAAAACAAAAAGGCCACGTCTTTTAGGTAGCTACAAAATACTGACGACCCGAAGCCCTAAAATCTCAAGCCCTGAACCTAGACTGGCCTCACCAAAAGCTGCATTTGCTAAGCTCGGCCACCTGCCGCAAAACGGACTACGTGGAGTTTACCAAGGATCTACACCCGAGTGTGGGTTCTTAAAGTACCGGGTGTTGGATATGTTTTGGGTGTGAGGGTCTGAGATTGGTACCTTGGTACATAATACAAAGTGCTCGGAACACCTATAAGCATTACCCTCGAAAAAGGCTTTGAGATCTCAAAATCAATTCTGTGGTTCTTCGGGGGCTTGGCAAGGCCCATCAACCACCTTGGCAAGGCCCATCAACCACCCGTGGCACGATGCGGATCTGTGGCAGGCACTGGGGAAATTACAGTTTTTTGATTTGTCATATTCAAGCGTTCAAAGCTAACGGGCTTCGGAATCCTGCATATGTGCATTTGGGAGACAACGCCCAAACGAGGAAGGATGAATGGCTGACCCTCTGTCGAAGTGCATGCGCTGGCTCCCGACAATCGGCTCTGCAAAGGTGCTATTCGGCGCATCAATTCTGCCAACAATACATATCTCCCAGTGCGTGACCTTTTGCAACTCTGCCCCGTGCATGACGTCGGGCATTCTCGTGCTTGCTGGACTAGGCCGGAATCCCAGCAGGTCAGTGTCACGGGGCAATGCGGAATTAGAGTGGAAGCCGACGCTTCAACACTCGGATTGAGACTTGCTGTCCTTCCACGGCCGCCACGAGGCCGGAAATCTCAAGTAAGCTCTATACAAGTTTTCCCACCAGTCCAAACCGCCGCATTTTCAGAGTGCCAAATAGGAGATTAAGAACCAACAGTCCTCTAAACTTGACACCCTAGGCGACCTAAAGACACAAAGAGGCGCTTGCCGGAGACCATAAACCCTAAACCCTAGACTCCTGAATCTCAAAGCCGAAGTCGATCAGTCCACAGCTCCCTGCCTCATCTCGCGCTCATGGGGGTAGCCTAGGGCGGCCTGGGACCGTATGAGTTGAGGGAGATTTTTCTGGGATTTAGGATTTGGGATTTCAGGTCCGCAAGCCGTATACGGTCTCGGATTTAGGAATAGGATGATTTAAGGCCTTACTCTCGGGCCTTCAGGGTGTACAGCGCTGGAGGGCTCAAGTACTCCCTGGATCTTTCTACCTGGCTGTAGCGTTTGATGAGGTCTGCTAGGGACTTCACCAGGTCTAAACCAGTTTTAATGGTGACTGAGTGGGGTAGTCGGTCATGGTCCCCGTGCCAAATCCTATGCTGCCAACTTCCGAGTGAGGCGGGGTTCAGGAAACAAGCTTCGGGACTGGGGTTTGGAAAAAGTCTTCGGGGCATGGAATGAAATCAGTACTTACTTGATCCCAGTCAAGCCCATCCCTGCTGCCTGCACATAGCGCACGCCATCGTGCACTGCATCCCAGCCGAAATGCGTATGGCCAAAGACGTGGATCTCCGGCTTAAGCTCCTGTTCAGGCTTCCGGATCCAAGGGTTTGGGCTTCGAGGATTCTGATGAAATTTCGGACTGAAGCATGCCACAACTATACTGCTGCCATTGATGCATTGTCGGGGCTGTGGAAATAGGTACATGACCATCCTTTCCAGAGAGGCATAACAATTGCTCGCTCGACCTTACTCCCGCGAGATGTAGGGGTTGAGTGATGTAGAGTAGCTCCTACAGGATCCTCCTCATCAGACAGACAGCTATCAAGCACCGCGACCTGGTGCAGTGACTTTTACTGCTGACAGCCTTAAGAAATCCCTCCAATTTTTCAAGTTTGGGGTTGGGTACTGAGAGTTCTAGCAGCTTCACGAACCGGGGCGGGTAGCATTGTCGAAGCTGAAAGTGCGCGCACTGGGGCAAAGGAGTTTTCAGCTTGCGAATACGATGTTGGCCTCTTCTTCTGGCGTACACCTCACGAAGCTGATGATCTTGATCAAAGCATGACGGCATGATGAATGAGGCAGAATCCTCCGAAGATCAAAAACTGCGAAGCAAACAGCCCATTGGTTCCTCCACCCGCTTCCGCAGGTAGTTTGAACCGCTGGCCTTTCACTGAGACAGGCTTTGGTGTTCATGGTGCTGGCGTCTTGCGGCTTCGGGTCGGGGCTTAGGAGTTGAGGGTTTTGAACAACACTTTCCAGGCTACCTGACCCCAACCGTCCGAGTACCTAATAATCATACAGTCTCCAAACTCTTAACCTACATACCTACTATCCTAAAACCGAGTACCTAACTATGGGGCCTTTGGACCCGTTGGGTGAGGCAGCAAGTTGCCTGGCCTTTGGCAGGCAGGGCAGCGCCAAGTAGCGCTTCTCGAGCGAAAGCTCCTGGGCGAGACAAGGATCCGGAGCGGCCCTTTGCTTTCGATGAGCCACACAAGGTGAAGCAGGAACTCAACCTGAAAACGCGTTGTACCCGGAAGTGCTTGGGATATCAGAGACTCGAGTGTCATTACGGTAAATAAAGGTGAAGGGACAGCTTCATCGTCTAGTCCAGTCTTGCAACGGTTAAAGCAGCTTCCGGCTAGGCCTTGCAGCCTTGCTGCCGTAGCTGCGAGTGCGCTGAAAATCGGCTCCGACTGTCATCTGTGCGCTTATTGCAACGCGGTGCCAGACTTGGATATCCTAGCTATAGCAGCACCCATATTTGCCTGACGGCAACTCCGGTGCACACGCCCTCGCGATGCAAAAACTGATAGCAGCTATGCCTGAAGCCCTACCCGGGCAAAACATCTTACCTTTCATCGAATCTCTGCCGTCAGGAAACGATCCGGGGCAGGAAATGTGAGAACGTCACCAGAGCCTGCAGCCACAGCCAGTCGAACGGTTAAGGGCCTTTTCAAGGGATCCTGGCAGTACGTGCTTCGGGCTCGGAGTGCTGGCGTTGAAGAACTGATCTTCAAAATATTTAAGCTCACGCGCAGGTTATCCACTGCAATCTTCGAACGCTTATCCTGGAAGCAAAGCTGCCAGCACTCCGGAGCCCACACCTCGTGCTTCTACTGCTATCGCAAGTGGCAAGACGCCACGATGAGTTGTCGCGGCATTAATTACAGTTTGCACGTCGATTCCTTCCCTCACAAGCACTACTTTCGCGATCCGCTGAAGGACGCACTACAACTGCAATGCCTGCCTTAAACACTAGCTAGGCCCGGAGCCGATCTCGACAGGCCCCGCCGAAAGGCCTCATCGCTGGGGCGGTCGGCCAACGGAAGCTGCAATCCAAGCGCTTCATTCCTGATGTTCTGAGCATCTGATTGAGGTCTGTATGCCATGACTAATGACTTCATGCAACCCTAAAGACACAGAGTACACTAGGTAGTGCACTGGGCAGTGCACCGTAAATGTTTCGAAGCCGAAGCAAACGGTCTTGGTAGATAATCTGCATGCGATAGGCCTTCTCTCTTGTTTGCGAGAGTTGGCAGTTAGCATCTAGGCCGAAGACTAGTCTAATTCAGTCAGGCTCTGTCACGGGTCTTGCAGTAGAGGAGGAAAACCGAAGAACGAACCATTGATTAGAAACTGAAACCCCGAAGTCGCCTCTAGTGAAAGAACTCCTCGACCCCTATCTGATGCTACCATGTCTCATTTTGTCAATCCGCCGCGCCGCCGAGTCATCGAACATGGAAACCTCGGCACGTTTGGGCCCTACTGAAAACACGGGGTGACCAGAAGTCTCCAAGGCAACAGTTAAGTTACAGCAGGTAAGGTCAAAACAATTAGATGGGACATGTTGGAAGATCGACAGATTGCTCCCGCCTGACTTTTATGGAAAGTATCACACATGTAGGGCCACGACCCCGGGTGGGAACCGGCACCGCTCGTAGTCCACCATGCACTCTGCGACCGAAGGAACTTTCCAGCCTCATGGGGAGAGTTTCGGAAGCTGAAGCTCTGCAGCTTCGTGCAATATGGGATTGGTTAAGGGATTTGGCAGCGCAGGATGCAACTTGGGGAATCACCGCAAAACATTCAGCAAAGGGGCAGGACTCGAGGACACAAGTTAACTCCTTCTTAGCCTGAGTCCTTCGCACTATTAACCTCCCCAGCGACGAGCGTTCAAAACCTAAACCCGACAAGCACCGAAGCGCAACACAACACCCCTCATCAAGCCTCAAGGCCGTAAGCTCCCCAAACACAAATAAGCTCTAAACCCCAAACCCTGCCCGAGAAGCCTCGAATCTCTCATCACAAACCCTACGACTCCAATCATCAAAACTCTTTTAAACAATCCCTCCTAAACTCCTAAACTCCGAAGCCCCCCAAGCCCTCTTGCCTTCGAGATCGGGCTCGGGGTCCCAACTCCTCAGCTCGGCAATGGGAGCTTCGTGGAGGTGTGAAGCTTCTACCAGGTTCTTCAGTACTTAGTTGCTGAATTCACAAGCTCCCAAAAAGTGTACACTTTCAGCTTTATCGTGGGGAATGTTATCCCAAAAAGTGTAAAGCGTATCCACTCAGCTACTGGGAGTAACTCCTTGATCATACGGGTACCCCTGATCCTAGTGGTACAGTAGCATTAATAGCGAACTCCAAAACAAAAGAGCAAGGGCACTGGTTGGGAACCTAATCCAGGCACGGAAGGCTCAAAAGGGGCTTGGCAGCTACACGCTGGCAACATCACTGAAACTACGGAAACCCATCTGCTGGACTGCCACCCAGCTGCTGGTGATGCCACGACAGGATGGGACACACCCAAACTCCCTGTCCGAGAGTTTTTCACTCAGGGGCTCCAAGTTTAAGGCGTGGGTTTCCAGAAGTCTTGGAGATCAGGGTCTTGGGGCTCCAGATACCTTAATAGTAGGTCAACCATACTATGCATCCCAACAACCTATTCTTTAGGTACCCGGAGTCCGAGGCAGGATCTGTCAGGGTTCGATCACAGTGGCCTCGAACTCTTGAACGCCTTGCCATGCTTCGGAACTACGGGATTTTGGAGATGAGGGAGACTTGGGTATATAGGGCAAGGGCAACCAGCATCCTTTTGCGTGGACACCTGAACACTTGCTTGTTCTATTCCTTCGCAAGTTTTTCGGACAAGAACCCCAACAAATCCTAGTGTAGTTATTTGGTCACTGCACTACTCTCAACAGACGCATGACAGGGCCTTCTCCGCCGTGCCCACGCGTGCCGCGGCGCTGTGCACCCCAAGGCGGCGACAAAGATCCTGTCTCCCGGGATCTGCGGTCTATAGGGTTTAGGGGGTCGCTTACTATGACTGTACTAAGGCCTATTAATGATGGTATGCTGTAACTGTATTCAAGCCGAGTGCGGATATCTAAGGAATCGTATGTTTGAGCATTCGGGCTTCCACATGACTGGCCGCTGGTGCTTCTTGTGCGGGTTTGCTGTGAAGTTTCTTCAGGGACGTGGTCGCAGTACACAAGAAATCAGCGGCTAATTGGAGCAGGAAGTGAGTATCAGCATGTCAAGAGTCAAGAGTTGTTTTCGATTTACAAGGCAGACACACTCAACAGCAACGCAGCTACGAACAAAACCACATCGGACGGATTTGGGACGGCTTGATTCAAGACCAGAGGCGCCACACTGACACTCTAGTTTCTTAATTTGCATGGCTGCCTGGGTACGCATAATCAATTCAGATAGGTTACACTCGAGCTGTATGTAACAAGGATACCGTTGAAACTTCTCGTAAATGTTGGCGCCGTCGGGTTTTAGAGTTCATGAGGTCTTTGGTTATAAACTGGTGAGTTCTCGATCGTTCAGGGGAGCATGGGCCTCAAACCATGGTCTACGCTGTAGGTTATATGGGAGCTTCCGAAAATTAGGGGTACATTATTCAGGGGTCCTTATAATAAGGATCCTATTATTTAGGGTACCATACTGGGATCCCCGATTTTCGGAAACTCCCATATGAGTTGCAAGTAGTTATCTCCTCACAAATTTAGCACAGGGGGCGCCTGGATTTGTGCCACCTTATCCACGCAAGTGTCGTCTCCATCGACCTCAGCCACAGACATGCAATTCTTCCGAGATATCTTCGAATTCACGAGGCGGATAAAAAAGTGCGGGCTCTTTCTAGCAAGTTCAAATCAAACATCCAGCGATTTGGATTCTGCCTCAGATTGTTGTAGGGGCCTTAATTATTAGAATAGAGTTTTGGGGCCCATCATACTATGCTGAGAATAAGGAGGATTTCCTCAACCTCCTCCTTTGGGTTTAGGAAGTCGGGTTCAGTGTGTAGGGATGAGGAAAATTTGGGGTTTAGGGGTGTAATATGGTACAAACCCAAGATGCTCAATCTAACAACCTCTTCTTCCCAGACAGGCTGAGCAGACTGGCCCAAAGATCGTGATTGCCCGGGACGAAGAAGACATGCGCGAACTTCCGCTTCAGCACCGCCTGGGTGCCGGGTAGACTTTAACTTTGGTTTGGCGTGATACGATTGGTTTTTTAAGCTTAGGATTGACGGTTTAGGCTTTAGAGATACGGGTATTCATTATACTTCCTTTTTATGCAGCTTTATGACTTTTGGTTAGGAGTTGCTAGGACCGCTAGGATCCTATCAACTCTTTCCAAACAGACAGGGGTACTGCAACGAAGACAAACGACTACACAAGGGATGATTCTGGGGAATCGGTGTTCGGGGTTGCGGGATCGACGAGTGGACTTGCTGTGCACTTCCCCAAGTCTACGGGGTTGAGAGTTCAGGTATTTTTTGCACACATCAGCTGGAACTATGGCTCCAAACATGGGTGCTCGAAATAAGCCATCTGGTCCGTCAATCAACCTGGGACCTCTAAGAGAAGCCGAAGCCCAAACGGAAGCACATCTGAGGCGGAGCTCCCGGAACTCCACCATTCTTAAGCCGACCCAGATAATTTTACCGAGAACATCTGCCACTCCCCACACCCGCAAGATTCTGAAAGCCCCAGGCGGGTGTGGGCTTCAGAAGGCCAAGACAAAAGGCCAACGCCAAGCAACACCAGCGAAGTAGAGTGATAGCAAGCCTCAGTAGTCCTTATAAGGGAACCCTTATGATCAGAGTATCATAACCCTTCTCAGGGCGCTTGACCGAAACCAAGATCCTGGCCAAGGTCCTCTGCAGAACTTCGTTGGAGTCAGAGACGTCTCCTGCCGGCAGCTTAGGGTTCTCAGGCTAAGGCTTAAAATTCAGAACTCTAGACGACTTGCGAGACGTTTTCAGGGTTGGCTTACGGCTTAGGGTTTTCACAAGTTGAAGGTCTATGACTGGTTCCACCATCAACGGATCAGTGCTCTGCACAGTATTGCCTGTTAAGGAAACTTCAGCGAACTCTCGCAAAGAAGTCCTGCGACGATCAGCGCATCATCCAGAAAGTCCGTATCTGAGATACTCTCAATCCATGCAAGGTTCTCCTGCGCGCGGCTTCTGGCTCCAGTTTCCGTAAGCTTGAGCGCGATGAGATGTAGGCTTGAGGGGGTTGCAGTCTCGGAAACTTGGCTACTTCCATGTTGTCAGGCCGCAAATTTAAACGACGCCCAGACGACAGTCCTTGATGTCTGTGTGAATGTCCTGAGCAGCTTCAGGACAGAGACTGACTAGTCAGGGCCTGGTGGGAGTTTGGGGTTGCAAGTCTCGGGGGAGGCACAGGATCTAGCTTGTCTATGCTTACCCTTGGCCCACGTATAGAAAAAGGGGTTGGGGGCCCATTGAAATACGATAATTTGTTAATGAGGAACCCCAATATAGTTTAGGTAATCATTACCGCCCCTGCAGTATATAGTAGGGTTCGATCATAACGGTCCCTGTCCGGTCTTTCCACGAGCGACGACCCCAAAGCTCTCTCCAGAGTCGTCTCTCCAAAAAGACTAAACAAATCGTTGCAGATTGTCCGCTGCTATATAAGAGCCTCACTTTCACGAAACTATCCGAATGGATCTCTCTTGCAATTTGCAGAGGACCTCTAGCAGTAGCAAGGACAACCTTGGTTGATCACCTGTGGTTGGGTTTAGTCTGTGTGGACAAATCCTTCCAGCACAAAGGCAGGCCGCCCCTACAAGAACTGTCACGCCTCCACTGCTTGATTCGAACGGGATGCATCAAGAAAAACTGAATACCGCGGCCGAGTGGCGGAAATGGCCCACAGCCTGACCGAAGACATGCGGCGAGACCTAGAGCGCATTGCTCACTCGCAGCTGTCTGTAGTGAGGGTGTTCGAACTGTTCGAGCCAGGGCATGTGTGAAGGTGCCCATGAAAAAAAGCAACATCCTAATGACACCCAGATCGAAATTGATGTCAACGGTGTTTCAAATGATAGCAAGCATCGCAGGTCACAAGCATGTCACGCACGAAATCTATCGTGTCTCTGCGTCTTGTCTAAAACGTCTATCTCCCAAACACTTCCAACCCAAAAGACACCCGACACCCTGTCCGGGTGCCTCTACACCAAAGGTCCCAGAATTATCTTTGCGCAGACCCTGAGGCAATCCTGAAGCCCTAAACCCCAAAACACGCAACCCCCAACGAGGATTATTAGATACCCTTAACGGCACATGGGGGCTCCGCCTAGCCGAGCCCTCAAATTCGGCTTCCCGGCCTGCAGCGAAGGCGCGAAGTACGGCCGCCCATGGGAATCAGAACGAAGGTTCGCACATCAGTCTTTGGGCATGTGTATGATATACGGATATAGTCGTTCTGTACGCAGAAGGCTTGAGGGCGATGGCAAGAAGGGTTCACCCTGCCGGCCTAGGATTTGTGGTGTTAGCATTTCGGGTTGAAGTGTCAGCTGAAGTGTTGCAGGGCTGGGTTTAGAAGGCTCGTTGGGTTTTCAATCTTGCGGATCTAGGTAAGGGGGTGTTCGAGGTTTACTTTATAGGAATTGAAACATTGAACCTTACAAAAAAGCTTTACCTTTGTTGGCTCAAGGCTCTTGGGAGGTTAGGATTGCACAATCAAAGGCTAGAGATCTACGCTCTGGAGCCTCAAAGCTTCGGCTGTAGGAACGTTACGGCTTAGGGCTGTAAGACCGTTTAGAAACTTAGAAATGCCAGGTTCTATTGGCTTTAGGGTAAGGGCAACATTCTAGGGTTTAGAGGTTCACAGGTTTGGGGGTTTAGCATCCTTACCAGCACTTTTGGGTTTGGGGGTTTAGGATATTTGGAAACCCAAGGCTTATAGGGTTAAGGGCTTAAGGAGTTGAAGATCCTTACAAACTGTACGGCTTGGGATTTAGGGCCTTTCTGTTGCGAATTGAGCGTTTCGGATACTTGCAATGCCTTTAACATCTGCAAGGCAAGCAGCATTCGCACTGAAAGCAACGATCATGATCAAACTACATGCCTGCCAATAGGCTCGGTAGTAGTTCCTTTTCGGGATGACCTTATAGGACCCTAAATAAACCACAAAAAGGAACTACAATGGAGCCTATATAGCGGTACGCATATCCCGACAGGATCGAAAGCTCTGCATGCAGACGGCCGAAGACCCACACCCTGCAGTCCTGGTTTTTGTTTTGGTTTTTGGGGCATCCGTGTCTGTCAACGACCTACACGAAGACCTACTCGTGCGTATCGATTCCGGGATATTCTGGAGTTCTCTCGAGTTGTCGACCTCGTAAATGTTGGACTTCTCTCGTGCTTCTGAGGTCTTGTCGATAATTCTACAGTGTCAAGTCTCAAGAACTTCTGGATGGCAGCCTTGGTGCGCTTTTCACGACGAATGGACGACCGCGCATTGCGGTTCACGTGTTCGAGACAGGCGCCGGCTGCAGGATGCTTCGGGCTCCGATGGGCTTGCGGTCTGGGTTAGAGTCATTTAGGGTAGGTTTTCTGGTTCAGGGTTTTGGTTCAGGGCTTAGGGTACAGGGCTTCGGGTTCAGGGTTTGAGGGTCCTGCAATGTGCAACCCTAATGAAATTTGGAGTAGCTTGTTCAGACGGCTGCTCACACCTGTAGACCTGCCTCCGTCATCTAGAGAAGGATGATGATCCCCAAGCAGGTTTAGATAAGAAGACAAACAACGCCTCTTGACACGAACTGATGACATTGACCCAGTCGTAGCGTCCAAGTGGCAATTGAAAACAAGAGTACCTATTCCCTGCTACTCAGACTTGCTCATGGGCCACAAAGACAAGCATGTTTGGAGATATTTTTCAAGCAGCAAGCATACTGCTGCGGGAATCGTCTATAACTCCAACACCCCTGGACCCCTCCCTCAACCCTCTGTCTCTATGTAAGCCAGACATGGGTGCCTCCGGAAGCCCTGTCAACTGCCGGCATCAATCCGCTCGTCGATTCCAGGCGAGCCACACGGGAGGAAGCATTCGGGGCATGCTACGCATCTTCTCAACACAGGGCCCCCCCCAGCTGCCTACATGTTGCGAAACCAAGGCTTCCTCTGACTATGAGTAGAACTGGTTCCCTATAAGACTTCAGCGGCTTGAGATGTAGTTAGAGCGAGCTGCACGCTGAGGTTGCAGAATACGGGTTGAGGCAACGTAATGGCCAGATGGGCATCGAGCTTTATGGTGTCAGTCCTTGTAAAAGCCCTTGTGCCACGAGCCCTCTAAAGCCTAAACCCGAAACCCACCCGTACACCCTAAACCCCAAACTTCCTCTCTGGCGTGCGGCTCCGCGCAGCTGTCTGCGCAGCGTTCGGCACGGCTCTCAGAGATCAGGTCGCCATAGGTGCTGGTCGGATCATGTGCCTCATAGTTTAGTGGCTTTTAGGGTTCGGTGGTTTAGGGATTATAGGGTATAGAGAGGTTTACGCTAAGTTGGGTTTGGGTGCAGGATTTAACTGTTAATTATGCGGATCTCAGGGAACGCGTTCTCTAGAATGGCAACAACAAGCAGAATTGCTCAAGGCACCCGACCTGTTTGCTCACAGGTACGGCAGCCCTTTTGCCGCCTATGTACTGATGTGCTGTGCTCGAGGTAGCTTCGGAGAGAGCAACATAAAGGCCTGTGAACAACTCGGCGCTTGGGGTCTCACTCCTCCACAACCCTAAGGGTTCATCTACCCATGTAGTATACACTTCAGTACTTCAGCTTTAGAGTAGTCCCTACATAGGTGCTTTGGGGCCAAAGCATATACTATTATATCTCAACCCTATAGAATATGGACGTGCAGATTCAGCCAGTCCTGTCTTAGGGTTCTTGGGCGACCAAAGGTAGTGAGATGATGTGGGACCCGGAGTGTCCATGTGCCTACATAGTTACTTTGGCCTTGCTTAGGGTGCATATATGGGTGGTTGTCAATATTAGGGTCCCTTTTTGGGTCCTTATTATAATATGGCACTTCAGGGTACCCCAAAGGGACCTTAATTTTGACAACTACCCATATAAGAAACCACATGAAGGCAAAAGTTTCAACTGTATAGGTACATGGACCCTTAAGGTACTCTAGGGGCCTTAATACTTAGAATAGGGCTTTGGGGCCCATTATACTATAAGTCGAATAAGGTACTCCCCTAAAATAGTATAGGCAATTACTAAGGCCCCTATATTTAGGGCCCCAAAAGAGCACATAAGCAACAATAAGGATGGGATATCCCAAATAAATCCCCGTATAATGAAGCCCAGTAAGGTAGGGATGTCCCTATAAAAGGCTTATGCTTATGTGTTTTTTGGGCCCCTAATATTACTGCTTCGTACCTTCTATCTTCAGAGCTGAGCCCCAGCGGCCAACCCTCGGAAACCGACCTGCAACATCCCCAAGTCCAGCCACACAGTTCAAATCCTAAAGCATACCCATAGGCTCCATAGTGGTTCCTTTTTGGGGAGTACCTTAAAGGAACCTGCATATGAACCACAAAAAGGAACTACAATGGAGCCGATGGGTAAAACCTACCACTAACCACAACCCTACCCCACGATCTCGATGACCTTGTCTGGCCTGGTACGCCGCCTGGCCGTTCTCGCCATCAGGAATGGGCGATGACCGCCTGCACATTTTCCGGCAGTTGACGATTTAGGCTCTGGTTCTTAGTAGGGAATGGGGGAATGGGTTATGGGGACTACTATTGATTATATAGGGACTACTATAGGGGTTCATTCCCCCATTCCCTACTACGCACTAGGGAGTTGTCACGTTTTGGGTCCTGAGAAATCTGAGAACATCATAGGGCTGCGTAACCTGAGATTCGAGCAGTATGCAATACTAGCATCCAGAGACTGATGACCTGCACGTATATCATCGCAAAACCGAGCCAGCCATCGTTCTCATCGATGTCATGACGATCGCGCCGATTACGCAACATTTAGGAATAATAGATTTAAGGTTCAGCTAGCTTAACCACTGCGAGAAAAAAGTAGTAATGGCAGCTGGCGACCAACATCACGGGAGCTGCGCGAACAGACAAACAAAAAGGTGGTTTATCATGCAAGACCTCCTCAAGATTGTGGCATGAACCTGAGAAAAGGTTGCGAATTATAGAAGAAGATCTAACCGAAGATGATTGTGATCTTGAGGATGGCTGACATGAAGAGTCGAAGATAGAAAAATACCGAGCGAGAAGAATGAACGAGAGACAAAGAGTGAGTCTACTTCCAACTTGGCAAATGCGAGACAAGACCTATGTTCATGTGTGTGTGTATATATATATACACACATATTATATAGATATTAGCCTGCATTTACTCTGGCATGATCCCTGACAGTCAAGCTAAACCTCAACGGTGGCCCGGCCTGCCCTGCGGCTTGATATGGTACGGTACCGCAGTGCAGCCTGCCACCGCGCATCGGCGCTCGTTGTCAGGGTTTAGGGTTTAGGGGTGTTTAGGGTTTAGAGTCGGCTCGGGGGTTGGTGCTGGTCTTCATTTGCTTCAATCCTGAAATTCCACACACACACACACACAACGACCGAAATTGATGTGTGATAGAACTTCCCAGCTGTCTGAGTCAAGGAACAGACGAGATTCGCACAACTCCCGATTGGAACGGCGCCTTCTTACCCCAGAAACATTAATTAAAGGCTTCCCCCTCTCCTGCGAAGATGAAGCCTCTGAGGTCGGGACGGCAGACACTAAGCAGAGTCCTGTAGGAACAAGGGCTGTAGTCTACTCAGCAACTTTGTACTTGACATAAATCCGTGTACCGGCTGAAAGGAAAGAACCCTGTCAGACCGGAAAACTGGAGCCTAACATCTTGGAGCAGTAATCAAATGAATGCAAACACGAAAAGCCGTTGTCCACACAAACCCGGTGATGCATGTATTATGTAAATTACAAGAGTGTCTTCAGGAGCTTTCCCTTTTTGCTATCTTCTTCCGGCGCGCTCGACGGCGTTGCATCAGATGGTGGGCCATCGCGGCGACGGCGCTTGGCGGTGCGCTCCTGGCGTCGGGAAAGAAGGCCCACAAAAAAAGCTCAGAGTTTATAGGGCTCGCCACCGAAACTTGCTGGGTCATTCGAATTGTGTTTGGGTGCATCTGCAATGAGGTTGTAGCAGGCTTGAGGGCTCAGGGTTGAAGGCTTGATAGGGCTTTGGGACCGCTAGTCTTCGGCAATGCTTTAAACCCTAAACCCTGAACCTAAACCCTAAACCCTGAACCTAAACCCTAAACCCTGAACCTAAACCCTAAACCCTGGTTTCGGAGTCAATACTAATACTTTTCGAAGAGCACGGACCGGTCTTGCAAAATGCAATTGCCAAATAGTTCTCCAAGTGCATACTCGATAACTAGGATGCCCAGTAACCTCGGAATAACAAGGGCTCCCTTTTTGGTATCGGGTAACTGTAGAAGGAACCTAGGACTACATAAAGGGAAGAAGGGTACTACTGGGCATCCTAGAGAAGCTCTACACCCTGGACCCCGAGACTCCCAGCAACTCTCAGCCCTGACTAGAACCCTAATCCCTGTGAACCCTCGACGGTCAAGCCTCATATACTGGAGCCTGCAGCCGAAACCCAAAAGCCAAAGCAGAAGCTCTTAAGCTTCCCGGAACCCCTATAGATCCCATATGGGCAGTTGTCAAGATTATGGCCCCTTTTTGGGTACCCTAAATATTGGGTGCCGTATTATAATAACGACCCAAAAAGGTACTATAATTTTGACAACCACCCATATAGTAACTTATTATTATCAACCTTTTCCCTAGGGCTCCAAGAATACAAACAGTATGTATACTTTGGGCCCTAAAGTCTATAAATAGGACCTTCTGTGGGCTATTTGGAGCCCCAAGGTTTGTGAGGAACCCAGAGCTCTTCAGCTCCATAGGTCTCTGAGTCCTCCGCAGCACGCGCCTCGAAAAGAAGCTGGGCGACATCTTCGTGCCTTGCGCTTGTGGGGCTTAAGGCTTGGGTTTAGGAGAGTTTGGAGTTTGGATGTTTGGGGATTGCGGCTTGCGACTTTGGGGGTGTGGGTCTTAGGGCTTGGGAGTTTTGGGAAGTACATTTAGGTCGTTGGTTTGGAAACTATGGGGCTTGGGGACTTCGAAAGGCTCTGAAGATTGCTTGGGTTGAGGGTTTCGGCTTGGGTTTATCGGATTTGGGATTCAAAGTTTCGGTTTACGGCTTAGGGTCTCGAATTTCAGGGCCAAGGATTAGAGGCAGTGACAGTAAAAGCATTTTGGATTTTGGGGCATGGGCTACCTGGCTTCATCCGGGACTCTGTGGGCGGCTTTGACGCGCCGGGAGGAAGTTGAAATGCTTAAACCCAAAGGCTCCATGTACCTTTATAGTAGAGACTTAAGCCCCAAAGTAGTCCCTATACAGGTACTTTAAGGCCTAAGTATATACTATATGGGTACATGGAGCCTTCGGGAAAGTTTGGGCTATTCACGGTCCCTGTCCCTGCCGGAACCAATTAATCCCAAACCTAAAGTATCACCGAAACCCCTCGCCAACACCTCGAGCTTACCAGTCTCCAGGTCCCAGAACCGTTGTGGTCTAAATGGCAAGAATCAGATCTTGCGTGGCCTAAGGGTCCAAGTACTGCTTAATCTAGAACTTTGGGGCCTTTTTTGGGTACCAAAAGCCATATATAAGGACTACATATAGCAACTTAGACCCTTATATGGTGGGTGTTTCACGGTTTTAGAGCACGTTTAGATCTCTGAGCTGCTTTTAGCTCAAAGCCGTGCTGTCGGCCAGGCTCTCGCCCTGTAGTGTACTTGTTGTTTCTGCCTTTTGTGCGATGTACGGATGCAAAACAAACGTAAACAGCTACTTGGATCAAGGCTCCAAGTGAGATCTGCCTTCTGTCATAGAATCATAGAAATACTGTCTTTATATTAGCATGGATGCGGATGCTACGCGTCGGGCCTGCGTGACCGAGTGCTGTCTGCAAGACATGGCTGTCCTGGCATTCATATCTCGACTCTCCTTGAAGCTGCTCTGGCATCCAGGTATTGAAGAGGTATGTTGAGGTGGGGCTGCAGGTCTTGAAGTGTCAATTCTCCACCTGTTTCGAACATAGCTCATTGAGTGGGTCCGGTTTGCGTGGCTGAGAGGGCAGTCGTGAAAGCCCCAAGCCTGAGAACCAAAGAACCAAAAAAACAAAAAATGAACTCTGCACCCTTAATCCGACCAAAACCTAAAGCCCGCAAGCCCGACGCACAGAACCCGTTACTACTATTACTACTACTATCATTATTAATATTATTGTTATTGTTACTCTTATTAACCCAGAGAAAGGGGTCCTGGCACTGCAGAGCATGGATCTGCAGCGGCATCTAAGAGTGCAGACACGACGGCCTCGAAGTGCCGGACACTGCATTTTGGGGGTCGAGGGTTCCTCTTAAAAAGTGCTTAAGGGGTCGAAAGATACTGCCATTACTTGGGTCTCAAAAAACTCTCTAATCATGGTGTAAGTGGACGTAGTACCAAACATTAAAATAGAAGTAACTATGCATTTACCCGTGAGAGGTCTTGATCCTGAAACGGGCGTTGACAAGGGCACGGGTTTGGGGGCTCGGGATTAAGGGAGGAAAAGCAAGGTAGAAAACGCCGTTAGAATCATTCGGCCTTAGGCAATACCCTGGAAGATTGAACATTATCTCCTCGCCTACTCGGTCTAAACCCGAACCCCAGAACCTGAGAAGGAATGACGGAAATGGCTTCTCGCAGGCTAGCGGGGAGAGTAGAAAGAGCTGGCAGCCGAGTAGCCCTAGAGTTGTGCATCACAAGCGCGAAAGAGCTCACCCATATTAGGCGGCTTATAACCCCACTTGTAACTACCCTAAACCCCCCTTAAACCCTAACTAACCGTAGGCTCAATGTCTCAGAATTGGGACTGTACTGGTCGCCAAGTAGCAACATGTCCGCCTCTCACTGCCGAGACCAACGACACTTCACCCGCAGGTGTCCATGGTATAGCCTGATAAGGCATTCAAAGGGCGGAAACCCCTTACAAGCAGGTTAGCTTGTCGTATAGTATGTACCTCGAACACAGGTTCTTCAACACCCGAAACTCGCAAACTTCTGGACCCCGAGCCCTTAACCCTAACCCTTCTTATTCTCAGTACCTTGCATGAACCCGCGCTCAGAAAGCCTCAAGCTACTTGAAGAATTTGAGGTGACGGGTTGGGTCGTAGACCGTCTAGTGAAGGCCAGAAAGTTGGAACATGGGTTCAGGAGGATTAGTGCTAGGATTCCCTCTACTTTACCTTAAGGGCATGAGGATAATGGTGTTCCAACTTAAACGCTTAAACCCAATGCAAATCCTGAACCCTGAACCCATCCCGTCCATCGTTGAACTGCCAAGGGGCCGGGTCTGCACGCAACTCCAGCAAACTACGGACCATCTTCTCTCCTCGGCTTACTGTAAATGACGTATGCTTTGGGTTTAAAAGTTTAGGGAATAGTGCAACTGGCTTCGGGGTCGGGTTTGAAAGTCTCAGGGCTTGGGTTTTGAACCTTTGGAAAGTTGAGGGCTTGGCTCGGGATAATGGGATTCAGGGACCGTGTGGGGTTTAGGGTTTAAGGTTTAGGGTTTAACCCTACTTGCCAAGCTGCGGCCCATTGCGCAAACGGCGCTCAGAGGGGAGTGGCCATTCTCAGAAATCGAGTTCACCGAAGCGCGAGCCTCCCAAACATCGGAACTTCACCAGTCTGGACTAGGCCCTAGGCCTTCTGCATGTGTAGTTAACTAGGAGTGTGCTTGCAAGGCTCAACTTCTCGGGCCGTGCTATTTCTGCACGGCTGCTGATCCTACTGAGTTACTACAGATGATTAAAAAGATCCATGCCAAGAGTCCACTTATCCTCATCCCTAAACCCTAAACCCTAAACCGCCTAAAGCCCCATGAGAGCGGTAACAACATCATGAACCCGTTGGCCCCCAAGGCCGGAGAACCTCGACCAGCAGTTGCATGACGTCGTAGTGGCCTGAACACACAGAGCCGAAGGCTCTGAGCTTGTTTCCAAGAGGGTCCATATATATATATATATATATATATATGTGTATATATGTATATATATATATATATATATAGTACGGATATGGGCTTAGGTCCTCAAAACCACACTAAGGATGGTCTCTTAGGACCTAGTCCCATAATTATATAGTACGGTTATGGATTTAGGTCCCGAAAACCATACCAAGGATGGTCTCTTGGGACCTATATAATCCCATAATAGTAGTATCCTATGGGTTTCATGACGGGGCATTCGACGCGGGTCTCTTTCCACCAGGGATTCGCACGGTGTGTGACAAGCTGCGGACTAAACCCGGCAATGAAATGGGTTCAAACCCCTTGAAGGTTTGCAACACACCGTAAAAACCCCAAGCCATACAACCCCGGACCACAAACCTGTTCGACTTTCGACCCCATAAACCCTAAAATCCGAACTCAGCAGACCCAAAGCCCTAAACCCAGAACTTGGTGCACCCAACTCTCTCTCTATATAAACCCTGATAGAATGCAACAAACAATTATAAACCACATGGGTGTTTGTCAAAATCATGGTTCCTTTTTGGGTCCTTATTCTTACAATACCGCACCTAATACTTACGGCACCCGAAAAAGGGCCCTAATTTGGACAACTATAAACCACATGAGGCCAATATGAGGCCAGGCACCATGAATTGCAGCCATGAAGACAGGGCTTCGGTCGGAGCTGTCTGCCTGGCGTAGGTATTATCTGGGAGTTTCCGAAAATTAGGGGTACCTTATTCTGGGCTCCTTATAATATGCATCCTACTCTTTAACGCGTACTATAAAAGGGTCCCCTATTTTCGGAAACTCCCATATTGCCTACGAGGGATTAATGGTGTTGTTTGTGTGCTTCATAGGGCATGCGAAGGTTGTGGCTATGGCTTTGGTTGCGAGTCCTATAGGGGACCATGGACTTCATGACTTTTCAAACATGAGCTTGTCTTTGTTGCTGTGCCGTCCTCTTCATTGGACCCTAAGCCCTAAAGCTTAAATGGGAGTTTCCGCAAACAACAGATATATGTACCCCAAATAGTAGGATCCTGGTTATGAAGACCCCAAAATAAGGTGCCCCTAATTTTCGGAAACTCCCAAATCCTGAATCCCAAACGCTAAACCAGCGGGGCGGGGCGGAGCTTGGGTCCTGTCTAGGCTGCAAAGCGCTGAGGTTTTCGGGGTCAGGGCGATGGCTTAGGATTTAGGGTCTAGGGTTGCGAGTTTAGGACTTCACGTAAGATCTCCGCTGATTTTACGATAAGAGCACTCTTAAAGGGGACTTGGCATGCACTGGACTGGAGCTAAGGGCTTATGGCTTGAAGTTTAGGGTTTTCGGCATTGTCGGTCTTCGGCCCTAAGGGGTTAGTGCTAGGAGCTCAACCACCCTGGGCTAAACGCGCTAAACGCCAGCTATTACATTCAGGCGTTTTGCCTCACTCGACGCTGGAGTGCAGCGTATTTTATGCAAGTGTTTTTGGAATAATTATGGGCTGAAGTTGAAGATAAGCATTGTAGGAACGAGGATCAAGTACTCGCTACCGTGCCTAGACTAACATATCACCTACTACAAGCGCCCCAAAGACTGTTAGCTTGACGCAGGGCCATGTGTGGAGTTGTTGCTTGTTTAGGGGAGGGTAAGAGCCTGTGTTTCTTTGCGCTGTCCACGTCCCATGCACGGAGCCCTTGGACCCAAAACCGGGATGCAACGACGATTTTTTTAACCCGCAGACCCAGCAACCAGAGCTCTGATCACATGACCCAAGAGTTCGGTTGTGCTTGGCTGCGTGCACATGACTCTATGCGATGTGTCAGACTTCGAGCACATGGGATTTGAGAAGGTTAGGGTTAGCCAGCCCCCTGCTTTTGCCGAAGCTGGGGCTAAGCAACGGCGGCAAAGCTTTTGAAGTCGTCTTGGGTTTTGGCTGTGTCGTACAAACTGTAGCTCTGAAATCTTGAACACGACCCGGGCACCCCTGAGATCTCAGCAACTCAGGAGAGCAAGTTCATGACTAAAAGCATCTTACATTTCCTCAGCTGACCTGCTCGGATACACCTGGCCTGCGGATGGTAGATAGCCCTTACCCTAAGGCCCCAAAGTAGTTCCTTTTTGGGGTTCATATATGGAATCCTATAAGGAAATCCCAAACAGGAACTACTTTGGGGCCTATGGGTATAGTCTTATAGTTCCATATCCAGCTCCCTAAGCCTTGAATACCCAGCTCCGGATCCTGCCCTACTAACCCTAAACCGTCAAGCCCACACACCATTCGACTTGCAGCTGCGGGTTTATCCTAAACCCTAACCGAATTTACAGTTTGGGGTTGAGAGTTGAAGGATTCCATGAACCTTAGGCCGTTAAGTCTTCATTCCCAGTGATGATTTCGCATTTGTCTTAGGCTGCCCCCTTTGAACCCCAAGGGCAAAAAGGAATTCCTAGCCTTCTCCTTGCACGCTTTGGCTTCAAGCAAGCATTGCGCGACCTCCATGGGAAAGGTTTTTGGCTTTCTTAACGGGGTAACCTGAGGATATGGGCCTAAGTCCTGAATCCTACAAGCCGGGGAATTTTCGATATAAGGTCCTGTCAGAGGAGGAACACTTCCCGATAAGGACATCCCAACTAATGGAACCAATGGCTTGGCTCTTTGGAAGACTACTACATGTGCTATCTGCACTATAGGATTGAGAGTGGATCGAGTGCTCGCTGCATGGGAGAACCTAAGTCCAACCAATGCGTCGCATACAGTTCCGAATGAAGGGAGCACGTCTGTGCAGTGATCTCGGGCCAGGGCATCAGCTAAACAGGTGCTTGGACCTGTGGGATCACAACTCCCCGCAAGGCCGCTAACAACCCCTGATGCCAGCATGGAAGCCCTCGCCAACCTGAAGCCCTAAATACCCGAGCCCTAATACCTAATACTCAAACCCTCTCGCTAGATCCCTTAACCACGTGAAACAAGCCCCACAAATCCCCTGCTACAGGAAAGAAAAGGTCTGGCCTCGGCATGTCCGTGAGCTGCAGCAAACCCAAGCGGAGACGGACAGCCTCTTGCAGTTCAAGATTAGGGTTAGGGTTAAAGCCAAGGGTTTAGCGAGTCTGCAGCTTTTAAGCATTAGGGTTCAGGGGTTGCTGGCTTCATTGTGTCTTGATAGGGTTCCTGTAGGGCTTCAGGGCTTAACAAGTAGGAGCTCTTGTCAGGGTATGGGTTTGAGACGGCGGCAGACATGCAATATCTAAAGCCAACATAGCCCTGAAAGCGTCATGTACGATGACATGACTTTGGCCGGATAGGCGTCTTAGCATCAGAGTCGCTAGAAACCTAGCTGGTGTCAGTGGGTGTCAGGGCTCAGGGCTTAGGGCAGCCTCGAAACCCTTCATTTAAATAAACCCTAAGATCTCAACCTTAAACAGTTGGAACTCCAAAGTTCAACCCTATAACCCCCCAATACCCATGAATCAACTAAACCTTACACCCCTAGGCCCTAAACCCTTAAGAATCCTAGCCACAGCCCTAACCGAAATAGCGATCCCAGAAAGTTGGAACATGGGTTTAGGAGGATTAGTGCCAGGATCCCCTATGCTTTACCTTAAGGGCATGATGATACTAATGTTCCCACTTTCTGGATTCTACTGTTCCAACTTTCTGGCTTCTACTACAAACTATCCACTTCCGAGGCAAGAAGCCTCGATCTGGCTCTGCCAAGGCCTCCAACAGCAGCTGCACCACCTCTCCGGGAGAGGCGCTCGGGCGGCTGGCGGCTCCATGGTCTGGGGGTGTAAGGTTTGGGGCTCAGACCTAAGGGGTTCAGGGTTTGCCAAGCAGGGAAGAGAGAGAGAGAGAGAGAGAGAGAGAGAGAGAGAGAGAGAGAGAAAAAACACACACAAAAAACAGATCGAAAGAGAGAGAGCGAGAGAGAACACAAAACAAACAAGGAGAAGCGAGACAGAGAGAGAGAGAGAGAGAGAATAAAAAACAAAAGCCAGAGAGAGATAGAGAGAGAGAGAGGGAGAGAGGGAGAGCAAGAAAAGATCCACAAGTCAGTTTAGCCCCACGGCATAGACATTGGAGCCATGAGTCATGCATGAATACCTTAACTTAGATGAACACATGTGGAAGACGGCGGCCACAGTCTCATCCTAAGACTCCAAGTATACAAATAGTACCCACTTTGGGGTCTAAAGTCTACATAGACTACCTACTTCGGGCTATTTGGAGTCTTAGGGTTATGTTTTGCAACACGTGCCAGGCTGCGCTGCAGGCGCGAGTATACAAGGACTTCGGCTTCAGCGTCTATGGCTGGGGCAGCTGATATGTAAAGGATATACTACCCCTTTCACGGACCTTGTAGACTATCCCTTAAAGGAATCCTACAAACTGCCCTTTAAAGGAACCTTGTAGACAATCCTTTCAAGGAATCCTACAAACTCCCCCTTGAAGGAACCTTGTAGACTATCCCTTAAAGGAATCCTACAGACTACCCCTTAAAGGAGTCCTGCAGACAACCCCCTTTTAAAGGAACCCTGTAGACTACCCCTTTTAAAATTTTAAAGGAATCCTACAGACTACCCCTTAAAGGGCCCTGTAGACCCTCTCTTAAACGAGCCCTATTTGTAGCCGCAGCCTCGAGCTGTCCGCAATCCGCCGCGCACTGCAGTGGAGTGAGGGCCAGGTCGCGGCTCAGCCTGGGCCGTGAAGAAAGAGGCCCAAAGGCCTAGGGATTTTAAAGGGATCCATCTATAAGGGTGTGAAGAAAGAGAAGGCCTCTTGATTTTAAAGGGATCCATAGGGATTCTATAAGGGTATGGCCCATGCCTTGGCTTGTAACCCCACTTACAAAAAAACATGACTTCCAAGTATGGGCCGCGAAGAGAAGGGGCCCATCATACCAAAAAGGGCCAGGGCCTAGAGACTACTTGTTATAAGGGTTCCTTTACGGGTCCCTTTAAAGGGATCTATAAGGATTATACAAGAGTATAGGGTTTAGGGCCTACTTGGAGGTTCATGGATAGGTATGAGTAGGGTTGTAACTAAGGCGAATGTACTTATAACCCGTATTGGGGGACTTATGACCCCACTGATAAGTACCCATGAATCTCCAAGTAGGACTTTGGAGGTTTAGGGTTTATAGGGCTTATAGGGTTTTGGGGTATGCTTGCATATACCTTGGGCTAAGGCGTAGGGATTAGGGCTTAGGGCTTGTAGGATTTCAGGGTCTGCAGCGTGTAGGGCTGTGCCTACGCAGTAGGAAGTAGGGCTTCTATAGCCCCCATACATTCACAGTTGAACATCGGGCCTTGTATAGTTGTATCAGAAATTCTCATCTTCAAGGAGTCTGAGTTTCAGGGTTTTTGGGGTTTTGGGTATAATCAAGGCTAAAGGACGTGCCGGAGATAAGTGAACAGACGGTATTAAACCCTTAGGGTTTTCAGCAGGGTGCGCAGCTACCACCCACACACTCCGAAAAGTCGGGTCATCATCACGAGAACCCCTATACCTAAAACATAAACTCTAAACCGTCATATTTGTCGAAACCGTCAGCCGCCGCCTGCTGGAGCTGCCCGCACTGCGGTCGTCGGCTCGAGCAACATTGGGATCCTCATGAAAAGCTTTAGGGATCAGGATTTAAGGGCTTAGAGGTGTAGGGGCTAGGGGTTTAGGCTTTAGGGTTTAGGGTTTCGGGATCAGGATTTACGGCCCAAAAGCCCGAATCCGCCGAAAGGGGCGTGGTCCCAAGTACGGATTTGTTGTCAGCAGAGCCGAGGCTGCACAAGCAGGCCGTCCGCTCTCTTGACCTAGCTAAGCAACTTTGCGAAGTGGTTATGCTACGGGTTTGGGGTTTAGGCTTTAGGGTTTAGGCATCGGGATTCTGTAACTGAAAGGAACCCGAAACACGCACATTCAAGCACGCGACCAAAACACCCTATAGGCACCCTGTCAGGCCACGGCCAGGGCCCAATCTCCCCCAAACCTTATAGAGTCTTAGAGTGAGTTCGTGCGTGCCTGAGTAAGTGAGCGATCCTCTCAACCTCATCAGAGACATTGGAAAACCCTAAACTCTAAACCGGACCTTATATAACTAACGTCCCATAAGTATCCCTAATACCCCAATAAGCCACGATTCCTATTAAACTACAAGAACCCAACAAGTTTAAAGGGGTAGGTATCGGGGATCTAAGCTAAAGGAGCCCTTTAGCACCCTTTAAAGGAACCATCACAAGGAACACGTATAGATCCCTTTACAGGAACCCTAATTGATATACGTATCATGGCATCAGTTTCCCAGCGCCTGCGGCAGCTCCAAAAGCTGCTGCACCTCCTCCAAAGCACCTTCCAGGGGTGACAGACATCCCGGGTTCCGGGTTGGAGGGTGGTTAGGTTTTAGGGTTGAGGGTTCAGGGTTCTGGGTTTAGGGGTTCAGGCTGGGTTTAGGGTTTAGGGGTTTAGGGTTCCGGGTTTAGGGGTTCAGGCTGTGTTTAGGGGTTCAGGGGTTTACGGGTTGCCCATCAATTATCCTTGAAATCCTAAGCCAGAAGAACGCCAAGAATCGCAGCCTCTCGCTGAAGCGGAGCGCAGCTCCAGCACCTGTCTGGACGCGAACTGAGCGTCAACAATGTCTCAACCCCTGAATCCTCCAGTGTAGAAACCTGTGCATAAGGAGCCCCTATAACCCCAGTGATATCTACATATGGCTTCGTTGGCCTTGAACTTATTTGTATCTTGCGAGTAGTTTAGAAATCGGCTCAGAAAGAATGTTTTGGTAGGCTCGAGGATGTAGGCAGGTGGAACTTTCCATTCCAGATGTGCCTGCACAGTGTGCTATGTTCGGACCGTGACATTTATGCAGAAACGTGTCGAGAGTGCCGTTCCCTCACAAGCATCAGGCACACCATAGAAGCCGTCACAGGATTGAGAGAACAGCCACCCCCCTCGATAAGCTTCTGAACTTCTGGAGATAAATTTTTAGTTAAACCTCTGCGAAAGTAACGCCACTTTATGCCATTCCAGGACGTCATGAAGCCTGGTTTATGAAACCCTAACCCCTGCAGTCTCATAAGGGATCCCCAGGGTTGTTCATACCGCAGGTTGGGGGTTTCCCGGACGCTGGCCTTGTCTTTGCTGTAGGGCAGGACAACCTTGGCGCGTCGACCGGGATAGGCAGAGAGCCCAATATCCCTTGTTTAAGGAATACAGCTTAAACCATAATATGAAGCCCCTAATGATTTAAGGGATACTCCTTAATTAAGGGGTATTGGGCTCTTCGACCGGGATAGGCAGAGCTCAAGTGGTTTGTTTAGGCCTTGGGATTTAGGGTTTCATGGTCGGGAGATCCGGAAGACAAGGAGAGCTGTCTTATATATATATATATATATATATACATATATATATATATATATATATATATATAAATACATATATACATATACATATGCATATATATATATATATATATATATATGTACACACACCGTTGCATGTAGTATGTTGTTCGGTGCACGCTGGTTTGGGCATCTGGGGACATCCGTACATGCCTCAACAGAAATATTCGATCACAGGAACTCTGCTTCGTCACAGCGCAGCCGTCATTCCAACATAAATTCTCGAGGCCCATTTTGGTTGAGAAAAAGGTTGCTGCAAAAGGCCAAGCTTCAGAGGAGACAGCTATCGGGATTTGCATGTCTCATGCTCTAAGTAGGTGTTCAGTTGTGCAATGTGGAAGTAGGGCAGTTCAGGTCTAGGCCTGGGCCAAGGCGAGCAACAATGTTTCTGGCAGTTCCAGACACGTTCAGGGACCCAAGCCATTGCAGGACACCAGCTGTCTTACCAGTTTATTAGGCTTTGCAGGTTCAGGACCCGGTGGGGAATATTGGCATTCCGAACCGAAGGCTTGCGGTTTGATTGAGCCCCAATATGGGAGCCCAAATGCCGCAAAGAGAACCGGCCCGTCGCTGAGTGTCAAGATCACTGACACACCTAAAAAGCAGCAAACCTCAAAAAGGCCGAAAAGCCAATCCGCGACTAAACCCCTAGATCCAAGAGCTGAAACCCTAAGCGGGACTTCTAATGCTTTAGTTTAGAGATTTGAAGTTCACCCTGAACCCAACGAGCTTTGAACCCGAAGCCGTTAATTAACTCCTAAACCGTAGATACCTCAGCTATGATGCCTGAAACTCCAAATCCTTGCCCTCAACCGAAAAGACCCCGGCCACGAGCCCTAAACGCTAAATCCCTGCTCTAACCCGAAAAGACCCCAGCTATGATGCCTTAAACCCTAAACTCCTACTAATCCTATGCTCTAAATCCTAAAGACCTCGGCCCTAAACCCTAAACCCCTACTAATCCTATCCTCAAAATCCTAAAGACCTCATCGAAGATGCACTAAATCTTCAATCCCTACTAATCCTATGCTCAAAATCCTAAAGACCTCAGCTAAGATGCACTAAATCCTCAATCCTTACTAATCCTATGCTCTAGATCCTAAAGACCTCAGCTATGGCGCCACTGCTTGCGGCAGGAGCAACCACATGAAGCTCCCGGGGAGATCCCAGCTCCTCAAGGATTTCATGTAGGGTTGAGGGTGTATATAGAGGGTTCAGAGTTTAGGGGTTGAGGGTGTAGTTCAGGATTTAGGAGTTGAGGGTTTAGAGGTTAGGGGTTCAGGGTTTAGAGGGTTGAGTATGTAGGGTTGAGGGTTCAGAGTTTAAGGGTTTAAGGCTGAGGGTTAAGGGTTCCGAGTTTAGGGGTTGATGGTTTAGGGTTTAGAGTTTGCGGGTTTAGGGTGAGAGTTAAGGGTTCCGAGTTTAGGGGTTGAAGGTTACGTAATTGTTGAACGTTAAGATGGGTTTGGGGTCACTGTTTAGGGTTCCGAGTTTAGGGGTTTAGGATTAAGTTTAGGGTTGAGGGTTATGAGCGCGCAGCAGATTCCTGTGTGCAAGCTAAGGTTTGTGTTGGATTTCGGCTCGGAGTTTAGACAGCGCACGGGCGTTTATACCAGCGCCTGTGCTTTCAAAAGTTGAGGTCCAGTGGAGCTGTAACCCTGACAATTATTCCCTAAACACTACACAGTCGACACTGTAAATCCCAACCCCCTAATTACATACACCCTTCAAGCAACAGAGACACTAAACCTGAAACCCGAAACTCCCACACCCCAGTCACCTTAATGGCCCCTTAATCCCTATCCTCAACCTGCGGACAAATTGGCCTCATAACTCGCCGTGTCGGAGGCTGTGAGTTCACCGCAGAGGAGCCGCTGGCGGAAGCGAGACACGCCAAGCCTTCGTTTCTCTTCTGGATTTGGGTCAAGGGTTTGGCTTCTCTAAAAAATAGGGACACCTACCTGCTTAGCTGCCCTTGGGACACCATAAATACAGAAACTCTGGGCCCCAAACTCTAAAGGGAACTCCAGAAAGTTGGAATATGGATTAATGATTAAGGTAGGATCCCCTATAATTTACCTTAAAGGGGTTAGGATAATCATATTCCAACTTTCTGGCTTCTACTGTAAAGCCATAAACAAACCCTCGGCCCTCAGAGACAGGGAGCAAAGGCCGCAGCCGATGCTTCAATGCAGAGACGAAACTCGTGCCCTGCAGCCAGGGACAGCTCGAGTGGCTGTGGCGGGGTTTAAGGTTCCTTTAAAGGGATCCTTTGAGGGTTCCTTAAAGGGATCCATAAGCGTTTTATAAAGGGTTTAGGGTTTAGGGTTTACAGTAGAAGCCTGGAAGCCCAATAGCCTCAATCCTCAAGAGTAATGTATAGGGAATCCCAGCACTGTTTGGCCTTAATCCGATTTCCAACTTTATGCGGTTCACTGTACTCCTGTAGAGCTTCTTACACATGGAGAGCATTCAAGGCCAATGCGTCCTTTCAATATCCTGGTAGGCTTGTATGTATGTGTGTATGTATGTATATATGTATGCATGTACGTATGTAAGTAACGGTGCATGTATGTGTATTCATCTCACAAATTCATCAAACACAGACACACACATATATATATATATATATATATATATATATTACACACATACATACATACATACATACATACATACATACATACATACATACATGTATAAGCACAGTGAGTCAATAATTACAGGACGCTACATGATCCTTTGAAACATGTCTTACACGTGGTTGAGCCTATCACCCTACCCCTACCAAACTTGCCTGACTCTTGGTAGGGAATGGGGGAGCGGATCCCTATAGTAGCCCCCCAAAGTCCCCAATATCCATTTTCCCATTCCCTACCAAGAAGCAGGGAGAATTGCACGACAGACTCGAAATCGACATCCAGACCCTGAGCCCTAAGAAATCTGCCCTCAAACGCATGCGGCCCCACCCCAGCCTCTAATTTCCCAATTTCCTCAGAGTCGAGTGCCTCGGGCTCGTTTTCTGGAGGTCGGAGAAACTGCACAGGTTTGGGTTTCCTAGGTTCTGGCCGGGGAAAGACCGAGACCTCGAGACCTAAATGAAGCTGTCAACGCGACAGCGCTTCATCAGGCCCTAACCCGAAACATCCCTCATCCCAAAGCCCTGAAAGCCCGAGAGCCCTAGTGTAGGGGCCTGAATAGTTAGAATAGGGTTTTGGCGGTCCATATTATAATTATAATTATAACTATAGTATAGTGGGCCCCCAAAAAAGCTATTCTAACTAAGAAGGCCCCTATATTAACCCGAAACTGCCTTAGCCCAAAGCCCTGGCATCGCGAAAGCCCCAAACCCGCAACCGTCAAGGCTTGCCTGCACCGCCCAATGCAGGCAGTATAATAGCCAGGACCCTCCTTGTGCCCTCCAACAGGGGTATATGGTCCCAAGTAGTGGGCATTTAGGGTCTAATAGAGGGTAGATGGAGGGTCTAGGAGTTCCCGTTGCAGCAAGACGAAACCGTTAAGGAACTGTGCTAAAGAGTTCAGATACAAACCTAAAACCCTGCTGCCAAGAATAGCTTTTTCAGTCTCAAGTTATCAAGCCTCAAGAGCTGTCAGACTTGAAACCCTTTAGAACCAACCCTCCACGCAATTACAAGAACCCTTGAAGGAATCCTGAACAGAACCCTTAAAGGAACTCTTAAGCCCAACCCCAAAGGTCTGAGAACTGTCAAGGCCGCGTTGCGGTCACCACGCTGCCCGACAAGGACAGGATGCGCAACACGGCCATGGCTTGAAGCTGGGTTTAGGGCCTTTCAGGTTTTCGGGCTTATAGGGCCTATAGGGCTTAGGGTTTGCCACTTTGGGGCCTTATAGCCCGAAGGGTCCGAAGGACCCAAGCAACAAGGTGCTTGGGTGTAGGATATACTGATTCTGTAAGTTAGCATCACGGGAGCAATCGCAAGGCGCCCAGGTTTTGGATACTGGTAATGGTCAGTGTTTCGGGGGGCGTTCATGCTCAGGTTCCTGAGGTGCCCCTTAAAACTCAGGGTACCCTTCTTCCTACCTACTGGCTTTCCCTAAACCCTAAACCCTAAACCCTAAACTGGCTTTAATAAGGGAACCAAAGAGGGTAGTACTGGGGAACCTGGTGCTTCTTACTACGCTAGGTACTGGGACCCTCCGAGCCTCTATAGGATGTTTTAGACGCTGCGGACTGTCGGGTTGCAGGGCTTTTTAAGGCTTTTGGTGGGTTGAGGTCTCAGGCTTCACAGGGCTTTGGGGCTTGAAGAGCGGGGTGCGGGATATGAGGCAAGCTGCTGAGATTTCAGGGATGATAACGGCGTCTTGGTGTATGCAGTGTCTTAGGCCTTTCGTTGTGTGTGTGAGGAGGTCGCTGTCAAGATCGTCTATCTGTGACCTTCAACCTTCAGGTACCTTGACCTGCAAACCAGATCACACAATTCAGGACAGGCCCCAGGTGAGCAGTCACAAGCATTGCGGTACAGTGTTTCAGTGCTTGGGGCTTCGTAAACCTTGGAAGAAACCTTGTAAGAAATAAAAAGGATCCCATAAAGGATTCCTTAAAGAAGCCCTATCCTTAAACCCCTAAACTCACCCCTAAAAGCCCTAAACCCACCCCTAAACCCCTAAAGCCCAAACCTGCCCCTAAACCCTAAACGCAAAGAGCCCAATACCCCTCAATTAAGGGATACTCCTCAAATCGCTAGGGGCTCCATATTCTGATTTAAGCTACAATCCTTAATTAAGGGATGTTGGGCTCTCTGGGTACACCCCTATGGAACCCGCGCCTCCTTCCGCGTCGCCCTAAGTGGCTTTCTCAGGACTTGGGATCCGGTGAGGCACTGCTGCGGAAGCTGCCTGTGGGTTTCGGGGGGTTGCAGCTTCAGGACTTCAGGGCCTAGGCTTTTTTTGATGGTGTTGCAAGGGTCTGGCGACGCACTCCTAAATTCAGACGACATGGGCCTAGGGGTTTAGGGTTCAGGGTTCAGGGCCTGAGCCCGAAACCCTAAACCTTAAGGATCTAGGGCTTATAGGCTAGGCCCTAAACCCTGAACCATAAGGGTCCATAGGGCCATAGGGCTAAGGGTATAGAGAATTAGTTTTAGAGTACAGGTTTTGGATTGATGCAAGCCTCAGGGCACAAGCAAGGCTTCGACTACACTGTAGCTTTCAGGCCCAAGTATAAAAGGACACAAGCTGAACCCCTGGTGCGCAAAAGCATGAACTCAATCTAAACCTCGTGCAGGGTTTGGGACTTTAGGTTCAGGGTTTCTACACTGGTATTCTGGACTCGAACTACTTCCAGGCTCTGGGGGGCATGGAGATGAGGTTTCACCGAAGCTTCTCTGCAATGTTCACGGCTTTTCTGGGTCACAGTCTGCGTTTTCCGTACGGGACACTGGGAATTGCGGCCGACGAGTCTTAACACAATTATCTGGCATGTCATGCCTTACCCAGGCCTTGTCTATGCTACTTGTATTTGTTGGACATCTCATTTAAGTTTCCGACCCTGCCAGCAAGGGCGTGCAAGGAATATGACAGACTATGCCAGTTCAACTGGCTTTCTAGAGCCACGGTTTAGGGTTTAGGGTTTAGGCCGAAATATTCCAAACGGCTCCGCTGCTCACAGCATCCTGTGCTGGAGTTAGAGGCAGGCAGGATGTGGGGCATCTTGCTAACGCTTCCTTCAACTGATGAAAATCTGGGGCTTGCCGGCATTGCAGCACTAAACTCTTAACTTACCTCTGGTTAGTAGGGAATGGAAGAACTGTGGTAGTAGTAGTAGTAGCAGCAGCAGCAGGAGGAGGAGGAGTAGTAGTAGTAGTAGTTATAATTGTACCTCATTCCTCCATTTCCTGCTAACCAAAGGTAAGTTAACCGCCAATTCTGAGGCCGGCCTGCCATCAGCACGTCGAAGTAGGATTGGATATCCTGGCAGCTACCCTAAGGCCCCAAAGTAGATCCTTTTTAGGGGTTCATATATAGAATCCTATAAGGTAATCCCAAAAAGGAACTACTTTGGGGCCTTAGGGTACTGCAGGGCTACAGACGCAGGGCGGCGGAGGCTCTCACTTGATGGCTACGGAGTGAAGATTCGATATGGGTAGTTCTCAAAATTCGGGTCCCGAATTTGACCAAACCCAAGGGAATTTCAGATCCAAACCCCCAACCCCAGATCCAGCACTTAGCTTCTGGCTTTTGGGACGCTAGGGGATCAATATCCCCAACACCCCCAATGCCCCAAAAATTCCGTCAATCCCGACAAACGTAGGTCTTTCATGACTTGGGGGCTCAAAAGACCGTGCTAAAATCAGGGCTTCGGGCGATGAGCGAGGGTCTCCCTAGGGGTCCATGTACTCATATAGTATACACATTGGCCTTAAAGTACTCCCTATCTAGGCACATTGGGCCCAAAGTATATGCTATATGGGTACATGGACCCTTAGGATCTGGGGCGGTGGCTGCATGGTTCTGCACGAAGTCCCAGTACTCGGCAACGTAGTGAAGCCTCGCTCAAGCGCGGTTCAGGGGTTTATGTAGGGGTTTAGGAGGTTTAAGGACTAATCAGGTGCAAGTCACGGGATACTTATCTCTACCTTTTTTGGCTCTATTATAAGTGCGCTTATATGGGATATCACCAACTTTGTTCTTGCTTATGTGCTTTTTTTGGGGCCCTTGGGACTTCCAGGCTTGATGCAAGTGATCAGGCCTTTGCAGGTTCCACCGGCTATACCAGAATATAGTTATAATAGGGTTTAGGGTTTAAGGGTTTAGGGTTTAGGGTTTAGGGTTTAGGGGTTTAGGGTTTAGGGTTTAGGGTTTAGGGTTTAGGGTTTAGGGTTTAGGGTTTAGGGTTTAGGGTTTAGGGGTTTAGGGGTTTAGGGGTTTAGGGTTTAGGGTTTAGGGTTTAGGGTTTAGGGTTTAGGGTTTAGGGTTTAGGGTTTAGGGTTTAGGGTTTAGGTATAAGAGCGAGCAGGACAATTCGCCACAGCCATTGATCCCGAAACCCCACACCCTGTCTGTAACTCCTACATCCCAAGCTCCGTGCTTCAACCTGAAACCCTGTGGACCTGAACACCCACATCCCCAAACCAATACCACATAAACTAGACTTCGAAATCATGGAGCACTGCCCGAACGAAAACACACTGCAACCCTAAAGCCCTATAGTACACAACATCCCTGCACCCTGAACCTCATACACCGTACACCACTACAGCCCCGCAAATCCTACACGCCTGAAATCCCAAAACAACCTGTGGATCCTAGCAAATGTAACTAAAGCCCTGCACTACAGGAGGATCCTGAACAGCCCTAAACTCTAAAACCTCATACCCCTCTGTCGACCCTGAAGCCTGAAACCCCCAAAGCAAAACTCCCACGGTTTAGGGTTTAGGGTTTAGGGTTTAGGGGTTTAGGGGTTTAGGGTTTAGGGTTTAGGGTTTAGGGAGCATACACCCTAAACCCTAAACACACCAGATGAGGGCTTCTGAGGTTCGGGCCACTGCTTCTCGGTCAGCTGAAGCCTGAGCCGAAGCAGCAGGACTGTGGAGTCCAAATGTACGGCCATTCAAGACGAAGGACCCAGAGAGTCCAATACCCCCTTAAGTAAGGAAAAAAGCTTAAATCATAATATGAAGCCCCTAATGATTTAGGGTGTATTACCATGGAGACTACAGTAAAGCCCATACAGTTGGAAACCGGACTAAGGCCAAATAGTGCTAGGATTCCCGATACATTACTCTTAAGGATTGAGGCCATTAGGTTTCCAACTATTGGGATTCTTGTAGGTCTAAAAAGTTCCTTGAAGCGTTGCAATATGTTTCGATCGGTTTATCATATATCGGGAACCCAAAGGAAGAGTAGCATTTATGAATGACTCAGGCATCTGTATCGAAGTGCAAGTACTGCAGCGGTGAGCCTGAGAGGCTGCGTCTGGCCACTAGGATCCCGCTACGGTTCCCATGAACAAGTATCTTCTAAAATTTACTATGAAGAATGAACCACCCCCCAAACAATAACAATAGATTCTGCCTGTTACAGCCTATATTACCTGAGCTCCGTGAATCCATTCCTTGACTTATCTTCACTTTTTGGCCGTCGCTTAGTAATATAAGGCTTATACTGGAGACTCTTGCTGGGATGTGCACAGAGTGGGGGTATACCTTAGAAGCTGCCCCCAACCTGTAATAGCGACTATAAGGATTGTATTAGGGCCCTAGTATGTTCCTATTATACCACTAATACAGGGTGGGGGCAGCTTCTAAGGTATACCCTGACCTTCCTTCCGAAGGAGTGATACATGCACTCACACAGAACTAGCCACATAAGCCTTCCAGCCCTCAGAACAAAAAACCCTCATAAACCCGTCCCGAAACGACCCTCCTAGAATCCTCAAACAGAAATTGCAAGAATTTTACCCCAACATGCCCTAAACCCTAAACCTCCCTAACACCCCTAAACCCCAGCATCACATGAAGCTCAGCCAACGCGGCCCGTCGGGTCCAAATCGGCCGCGTGGATGACCTGCCATGCGCAGCATCCAAATCGAGGTTTCGTGCCTTATAGGGTTTAGGATATAGGGTTTGGGGTTTAGGATGCAGGGTTTAGGGTTCGCCGTGGAATAGCGCGTAGGCGATAATTATCTTGCGACACGGTTGTGTCGAGTGCGTCGTACCGTGGCGAGGAGCTTCGAAAACTTGTCTGCAGAAGGCTTTTTCTTTTTGATCTTCACCGTATAAGGCGGCCAAGCCACCCAAACCTGAAGCTATCTGGAGGTTCATGGGTAGCTATAAGCAGTTTAACCATACTTATAGCGCATACTAGGTGACTCATAACCCCATTTATAACTGCCCATGAAGCTCCAAGCAAACCCTAAACCTTCGAAGCCCTTGCTAAACCCCAAGTCTTACAGGGCTCAAGGCGCCGGACTTGGGCAGTGTGAACATCTACTGTACCTAAACCCTAAACCCGAAACCCTAAACCCTAAACCCTAACTCTGTTAGTACAGTTAACCAAATAATTAGATGGACCCCAAACATGGAGACCCAGCGACTCCCATACCCCTTAATTACGGAATATTCCTTAAATCATATTGAGGATCCTACTGTAATTAAAGGTATATTTCCATAATTAAGGGGTATTGGAGTCTCTGGGGACTTCAGGTAGGACAGCTTGGCACAGCACGGTGTCGGCTCTGGGTTCAAGGTACTTCGGCTGTACGGAATACAGTAGAAGCCAGAAAGTTGGAATATCATTCTCATAGTCCCTTTAAGGCAAAATATAGGGGATCCTACCATGAAACCCTGTGAAGCTGCAAGACTTCTTTGATCGCACAAAAATGGCCTCACGAACGAACTTGGTACACTTCTCGATTCCGTAAGCCTGTGCCGTAAGGCCGACTGTAAAAGTGGGCAGAGGAACGCCTTCACACTCCCCCTCCCTGCACTCCATGCAGGGACTTCACAGAGCCCTCGGCCACTGCACCTTTACACCTCCGGAAAACTGTGAAGAGATTCAAGGCCATCGATTTCAAACGATGTTCAGTAAGACTCAAGGCCATCAGATCATCAGACCGTCAGGTGAGCTGAACTGCGCATACGCACAAATCGAAGCGTCTATGCCTCCGCATCCGCTGTACTCAGCCAAACGGGTTACTCCGGGGCTGTCAAAATTCAGATGCCTACGTCTATGCGCCACAGCAGTTTCAACTCTGCGCGTTCCTTGCAGCCAATAGCTCATCTATCTTGTGACTCGGTTGCTGGCTCATTCACCTCTGCGCAAACTGGTACGGCGGTAGCGCTTTCTCTCTCTCCGATGACGCTGGGCTTGAGCTCGCTACACTGCCGAACCATTCTGCACTCTCATCGCCTGGATCAAGAACCTCATCAGGCCATGATGCGTCTGTAACATTCCGAACCTCAGGAGCGTGCAATACTGCCTCGATGACACGACCGAGAGGAGCGGCCTCCGTTCTCGCACCAGAGTCTCGTGAGGACTCCGCCCTCTGGTCAAATGATTGCACATCATGCAAGAATGTCTCAACTGTACGACCGAGAAGAGCGGCCTCCGTTCTCGCACCAGATTCTCGTGAGGACTCCGCCTTCTGGTCAAATGTCTGCAGAAGTCTCGCATCAGTTAGGCCTGCAGCTGCCAGGTCGCCAGATTCACGATTGAAGCGCTCAACAATCGCTTCGATGACAGCCCTCGGACCAGTAATGTGGAGATCGTCCGCATACATGGTAACTTTACACTCTGCCAGAAGTTCCCGAAGATGTCTGACTCCAGCTCGTGCCTCTGCTGACTCTTCGAGCTGCAGTCCTCCTCCGTCTGCAATCCTCCTCCCCTCCGCACAACCTAAATTAGGCATAGGGAGGGGAACCGTACTAGGGTCATCAGAGGCGCCGGGACGGCTAGCAACCTTAGGGATTCTTTGCCGCAGACCTGCAGGGGGTACAAAGCTTGGGACACTACTGCAACCATGAAGGGTTAAGGAATCAGGATTTATGATTATCCTACTCTGCCCACCTCTCGAAGGAGACGGCTCTATCAGAGACCACTCACTCTGAACCTCATCGAGTGAAGCAGCTGCCCTCACCTGTGGTTCACTTGGATCCCTGGGCTCACCACGGCAACACCAAGATACCAACGCAAGCACGGCGACAACCACAAGCACGGTCACAAGCATGCCCACAACGTGGTTCCTCGGAAGCTTAGCCTCCTCACCACTTTCGTCCAAGCCGACAGTCGTGACTACTTCGCGAGCTCGCGCGGCCCAAATTCGCGATGCCAAAACAAGCAAGCACAACGCTTTACGCAACCAACTGTCCTCAACCCCTACAGATGACGAGGAGAGGGATATCAAGGTGGCAGCGCTTGCAGGTCCTGCAGCCGTCGCTCCAACGCTCGACGCTACTCCGCTAGGCTCAAGACAAGCACGCTCAAGCGACCCGAGACTGCTACACGCGCTGCTCTCACGACGACCACGCTCCAGCAACTGGGCACGACCAAAGTCACGCAACTGATTGCAACCACGCTCACGCTTGCCATGACTCATATTTTCGTCGTTTGAAGGGCCCGACTCCCCCCGAAGAGCACTCACACACGGCTCTTCGCCTAAGTCCAAACGCATGAGTCGAAGCAACTCAAGGCAACGACTAGCTTGCAACGCCTTGGTAGCGAGGTCAGCCAACATCCACTTTCCCGGAACATGATACACCGTGTACTTAGCGAACTCAAGCTGCTGCATAAACCACTGTGCCTTCAACCTCAGGTGGCGTGTTCGCCACGCCCCTGCCGGGACTTGCATGACTGTACAAGCACCGACGTTATCATTATAAACTACGGCCTGTTGAGAGGTTTGGGAAAGTTCGTTCAGCAAGGGCATCAAGCAGTTACCTAGCGTCATAGCATCCAGCGTCGCACCGAGCTCCGCCTCACACGTTGAGAGAGACGCGGTGCTTTGTCTCATCGAGCACCATGCGACTGGAGCCCTCCCCCAAAGCAACACTATGCCGCTCTGGGACCTTTCGGACCCCGGGCAGAAGGATGCATCCGCAAAAACTTCAAGCAAACCGGGGGAGCCTTCTTGCCACCCTTCAGGCAATTCTCCCCCGGACCCTGCGTCACCGTACTTCAGCCGGTAGTGGCTCGTGTGCCTAAGATACCGCAACACATTGTGAGAAGCTGCAATGGTGAACTCAGCATCCTTAGAAACGAGCTGCCCCAGCCGACTCACGACGAATGATAAATCGGGGCGTGTTCTGGCTGAGAGCCAGAGAAGCTCCCCTACTACTTTCTGTCCAAGCCTGAGGCGAGCCGGATCTACCTTGCTGCACGGTTCCTCCCCCGAGTGGTCTTTCAGGAAAGGCGTATGAAGCGTTCCTTCAACATCCGGGTATCGAGCCAAAAGCTCTCCCACATACTGGGTCTGATCAACATAGATCGCGTCGTCAGCTTGACTGATGTGCATGCCGCAGAAGTTGATGCCACCCGCATCAGTAGCATAAGCTGGAGTGCTCAGCTGCCACTCCGCCCGGAAAGCATCCAGCACCGCATCAACCTTACATCTGGGTCCGGTGACGAGAAGGTCGTCGACATATATGCCTACAACGGCTTCAATGTCCTGTCCCAGTGTGCCATCAGGCAAACTCTTCCGCAGCAACCAGATGTTAGGATCCGATCTTGATTGGACTAGCCGAAAACCCTGATCACCAAGCTGGACCTTTAAGCGTGGGACTCTGCTGTCCCTGTGGTGAGACCAAGCGGACGGACTCTGAATCAAACCATAGATAGCGCCATCGGCGCGCCAGACTTCGTTAGGCGATACCCAGCCGTTCCGCACCATAACGGCTGGCGGTCTGAGTAGAATGACACGTTTGTCACCGAGATCCAACGGTGCATTTTAAAACGCCGTTTTGATGTCAGAGCCTGCGGCGGTCCACTGGTCCGCTTTTGGCTTGTCGTGATTCTGGGAGACTTTGAGGCCCGCATGTCTGAGCTGGCATCGCAATGCCAGGGAGTCAAGGCCTCCAGCATAGAGCGCTTGCTTGTGAGACCGATCCTTCGAGCCTGCGTCACTGGCGTAATTGCCACATGCCACTAAGCGGCACTTTTGTCGTGCCGTATGAGCTTTAATCTGAAAGATCCCCTTGGTCGGAACCCATTCAATAACATAACCGGCCTCACGAAGTCTCTCGACCTCGTCGTCGTCTATTCTCTTGAGCGTTTTGTGTACATCGAAGATCGAGCCCAGTTCCTCACCAACCGTGGAGTCCCACTTCCTAGGATCCTTGTTGATCTCAGCGTGGCTGATGGTCTGTGTGTGAAGCGGTCCAGCCGGCTCAGCCTGCCATGACTGTGGACCCTGATCTGGCCTCACCACACGCCCGTCCCCATTCAGGAGCTCATAATCCTGAGGACTTAAATGAGGGTCACACCGATCTTCTACTGGATCATCGGCCAACGGAGTCCAAGCAGCCTCATCGACCAACTGAGCTTCGTCTTCAACCAACGACTCACGCGCAAGCAACACCCTCAACTGGGCCTCATCGCCCGAGCCACACGCTTTCAAACTCTGGGCACGCAACCACTCGACTGTCGCCTCCGCCTTCCGAATCTCAGAGTACAGCGCTGAGATACACTCGGCAGTAATTGTCGCCGCATCGTCGTTGCCAGCTTGCATCTCGTCACACATGTGCTTCTGCTCTTGTGCTACGTGTCGCTTAGCAGCTGCTATCCAACCCTCGTAACCCTCACTATCTATCTGCTCCCACGACCCCTCAACCGCACACAGGGCGGCCACTGCCTCATCCCCCGAACTATCGGAGACGTCGACAAAACCTGCTGGGCTCTGACACTCGTCTGGGTCCTGTATAGAGTAGTAGAGGGCCTTCGTATAGGGAGGACGCGGATCTGGGGCTCGGTCAATAGGGAGAGGAAAGCCTAGCGACTGCAGCAACGTTCTGTCTACAGGAGCCACCTTTTCAAGCGATCTGGGAGTATACGCTATGAGCACCCTTCTATCT